TCAAACTCAATGTAAAAGTAAAAGCAACATTTCAAGAGATTCTACGAAACCGCAGCTCCTTCTCACTATATTTTACAAAAACGTGATAAGAAGTCGAGGTGCAAACAAAGGTTTTCAATAACAATTGCTGTTGTTTACAAGCTTGTAGAAGCTGTCTGCGCTATTGCCGGTAGCTTCAAACGATCTCTCCTACTCCTACTTCATCAACAGATTTACATGGTGCCTGGTTGTGTTCCAAACCTCACTACCATATAACAATATTTGACCAAAACCCATAATCATGGGTAGAGTGGACCGCTGCCAGTGTCTCTCTTTCCCAAACAAAAGGAAATGATATTAATTTGATTGACCGTTCTCAAATGCAAAATGATACCGAGAATGAAATCGGTCGCTCGCTTTTCCCATTCATTCACGGCTTACGGATTGTAATAAGTTTCGATTGATTAGGTACATCAATCAGATGCTGTAAAAATCTCTTTGGGTTGCGTTCGGGTCGATACCTAGTATTTCGGGGTAAGGGTGGTAGTTATTACTTATTGAATTAGCTGAAGTTTATTGAATCTTTATTGCTGAGTACAGCTGCCTTTGGGTAGTTCTTCTTAATCTATTACAATTGTAAATGAATGGGAAAAGCGAGCGACCGATTTCATTCTCGGTATCATTTTGCATTTGAGAACGGTCAATCAAATTAATATCATTTCCTTTTGTTTGGGAAAGAGAGACACTGGCAGCGGTCCACTCTACCCATGATTATGGGTTTTGGTCAAATATCATCTCTTTTTGATTATAATGTCAGGGTACTTTATAAAGTCGAAATATAAACTGATATCTTCATTAATAAGGAGGAAGTTTCAACAATTTCGAAATTTTTCCTTTAAAAACATTTCCTTGTGTTTAGGTAAGCATATCGGTCGATCACTGACTGAATATGCCACTTAATACTCATTCAAGTTGGCATTAAATTCATTTATAATGACATTAAACTGTCGTGGCAAAGCAGAATTTGTTGGAAATCACAAATGAGCAAAATTCTCACCTTTCGCACGTGCAAACTTTGAGCGGACGTTGCGTGCGCATCCAATATTGAATCGCCGTAAAATTTTGCATGTAATTGTTGTATATATAGCTTGATAAGCATGCAAAGTTTTAAAGTATTTCAAGAAGAACTGTTATCACAACGGCACTCTAAAGTTGACAGAAAATGACGAAAACAGCAATTTTCAGTGATTTTAGCAATTTTCTATCAATTTTCTATCAATTTGGGCGTGTCCCCACGTGTGCAACTTTCCGATTTTTAACTTTAAAACTAGCCTAATGCACAATTTATATCTATAGGAAGCAGAACTGAGCTCCACAACCCAAGGCATGGCCCAACACCAGAGAATACTAAATCGCAAAATTGACGTTTTTATAAAATAATTCTTCAAAAAAGCACAAACTTCAATGACGAATATCTTTATGAAGGAGCAAGCTAGAAAAACTTTCCGGTAGATTTTCAGAATGCTTGAACAATTATCTAAGATGAAAATTTCCTCAGATTTTGAATAAAATTACTTTTTAATGGTGTAAAATCATTTTTAAAAGTTATTACTTTGTCAAAAATCAAGTTTTAAAAACGGTTAACTTGATGACGTCATCAAGGGGTGTTCATGACCTCAAATAATTTGTTTATACAATGTAAACTAAAGTGTAAACAATTATTTTCAAGACCTGTGGTCGGAAATGGCTGTATCTTTTATACTTTTGAATCTATGGACAATTAAATACAGGCTACAATTGACTGGCAAAGCGTCTATCCCTGAATATATATATATATATGTATATATATAGATAGATATCACGACAATCTGTCGTAAAACAGGGGTTCTAGAAAACCCACTTCCCGATGTTCCTGAAACCTGAAACTTTTTTTGCAGTCGATTTGGTCAACGTCTAGACGCCCTGAAAGATTTCAGATCTCTAACTTGATTTTAACATGGTTTTTAAGGCACCTGAATATGGCGATTTTGGGTTTTTTACCGAATTTCGTATAACAGTGCTGGCGAGTATTTTATGCAAATTTCTTAAAAATCTCAACATAACTATTTTTTATTCCTGTCATCTTTGACATCAAATTAGAATGTTTTGAACTAAAAATAAATCTGCTGAACGACTTCCGATGAGTCTTAATGCCTGAAAAACTCCTGCCGGAGGCGGCGGCCTTCGGCCGCCGCCTCCGGCCGGAGTGCACGCTTCGCGTGCACGAAAGAGGCTTGTAACGTGTACCAAAGGGGGTATAATAGTAAAGGGGTATAATAGTAAAGGGGGTACATAGTATACCCACAATAAATGCACCGGTCGTGCTTGCCAGCACTGTGATTGTCAAAACCGCTGCCTTATAAATCCTGATCTTTGTATAAGACTGGATGTTGCGGTTTTTCCATATATTACTCAGTTGATTGAAGGCTCCGGAAGCTTTTTGAATCCTCGCTGACAGCTCACGGTCGCTGGAAATAATTGTACCTAAGTACGTAAAGTCACTAACTTGCTGCACTGGCGTGTCTTCAACAGTGATGTTCACTGTGGCTTCTTTCGTGTATGGCCGTTGAGAGGTTGCTTTACCAATGACCATAGCCTCATTATTTTTACCATTGATTCTGAGACCTCCCTGAACACCATACATTACACTTCGCTTTGAGGTGTTCCATCAGCGTTGCTTGAGGAGAATACTTAGGATAAGATGGCTCGATCGGGTTAGAAACACTTACAGGAAACACTGACATAGACCTAGAAGGAGCGAGTGGGATGGCTAGTGACCGCAAACTCTGGAGTGTGGAGGGAGATGATACGTCACAAACGGGAGTTCATTGGTGCAGGCCACTCAAATGATTGAGGAGACCTAATCAAGTAAGTAAGTACTGGTGCTAACTGCTAAACATAGCGGAGACCAGGCACTCGGTAGGCACCAGGTGCTCCAGCCAAGCTCTTAAAAACCTCTCCATTATGATATTTAATAAAACAAAACCCGCGGACCATCAGAGGATGTTCAATGTTCATACTTTATACGTAGAGTTGGTTTTTAAAACTCTGAACCCACACCAGACACGACCCCCCGGGGCTACTCAAGTTAATAAAATAGCTCATATCTAAACACAATAGTAGTAGTTACCACATACCACCGAATACTTCACCATCTTAGTATTTATTAACATAGGAGCCGGACATCTAATGTAGGACAAGCATAAATTGTTTTTATTTAAAATTAGTTATAACGACTCCATCCCCGGGGGGCTCAAGCTAATATAGCTGTTACCACCTTCAGCTGGTATTTAGTAGACGAGAAACAGTAGTAGAAGTAGTACAATAGTAACCACGTTTCCACCAAATGAAGCTGACAACGAGTTAAAATTGAGCAAATGTCGCACCATTAGAAAGTATTAGTAAATAACAAGGATGGTGTATAACTTCATACCCAACAAACAGGCCACACTTCCGAGGCCACACATCCGAGACCTGTACAAGTACCAGTGGATATAGAGGGTCGTTACTCATTAGGTTGTGATGCAAACCAGTGGTATTAGGCCAATATTCGATATTAATGTTGGATAATAAGTATATGAGTCGGTTAAACATAATTTTAGTAATAGTTAGTTCAAGGCATGTAAAGTATAAGGGCACTTATAATGACGTAGATATCGTGTAACGTGAGTGTATTAAATTTGTAGTTTAGTTCTATTATTAATTTCCTAATTTTTGTTCCATTGAAATTCTAATTTGAGTTATTTGATTAGATTTAAACTTATAAACTAAATGATATTCGCACATCCCCAAAAATCGACGTTTACCTTTGGACCTCAGGCTTAATTATTGTTCTACAAAAGGATCTACAAGTACAACATTTTCTACAACACAAGTCAAAGATTAGAAGATACAGATAGGCTGGCGCTGTAGGGTAAAAATAACGTGGACAACTTGAAGGTCACTTATAGGTCAGTTAAACCTAAATAAAAAGGACGTGGACGATGCAACTATTAGGTCATTTGAAACGTTTTAACGAGCTTTATTTTGGAGAAGTATTTGGTGGACAAATAGGTACAATGCCGACTCATGGCTATTAGCCGGCTAAAACACGAGTAAACGTCGACTTTTAGTCGACTGTAAGACTTAGAGCACTGGTAGAGAGTTGTTAAGATTTTCCTAAAAACAAGGAGCTGACCGAAATGGGTGGAAAGGCCTGTTGCTATTAGTCGGTTATCAGCCATTTTAACGGAATTTTCAGCAACCATCTAACATCCCCTTTCACCCGCCTCAGTCAGCTCTTGTACATAGTATTTGTACCTATTTGCCTTTGGCATTTGGTGGTATGTGCTACTACTGTGTTTATAGTAAAGTCACTATTGTAATTCTCATTACGGTGGAATGTAATTACAAGCATCTAAAACATTATGACGTTACAAACTGAATGGTACTGGCGTATCAAAAAATGTGCTGAAGCAACCATCGTGTGCAAAAATAACGCGCGGACTATTAAGCTATTATTTAAGGCTAAGCTATTATATTAGGTTTCAGATATTATATTAGGTTTATTATCACGGACTACTCGCCATGCTATTATTATTAGGTTGCTTGTCAGTAAAAAGTGACGTGGACGACAACTATTAAGTCTGTAAAACCTAAACGGCCCTGCGCGAAACAAAGAACAAGCTGACTTCAGGTGATACGTTACTACACGACGTTAAGCGGCAACCTTTGCTGGACAAGATATTGCTGCTAAAACCCTGCCATGTTTAATAAAAGCACTGTTTATTGTGTCGTGTTTATTGGATTCCACCGACACTCCAGTAATGGTCAGAGTACTATATGAGTAGTCAAGAAGACGCTATACTGTCACTAAGTGATCTGAATAATGCAATTAGTCATGCCCATGGAGTGGCATGTTCAACTGATTTTAGCTGATTTTTTCGAGTTTGTTTTCTGGCGTTGAGTTAGTGAGAAGTAGTATACTTACAAAATATCTATTTAAAAATGAAATATAAAATGAAATAAAATTAAAGGGATTGACTTATCTGATCAGAGCAAACCAAACCATCAAACATAGCAAACCGACCACTTTATAAAACTAAAACTGGACTACATAGTGTTTAAACTAAACTAGCACCCAAGGATCATCGGGGGTGTAAACTCCATTAACTCAACTCCACTACTCCCTTCACAATTGTCTGTGGTTAACCAGACAGTTCAGACTCAGTGTATAAAATAACGCACGACCATCCGGGGAGCTGTCTACTGTTGATCAACTTGTTGAAAGGATCTGGATGTCAACTTCCTGTAATCATTTCAACGCAAGGGTGTACCAGGTCAAACTGGGGATCGTTTTTCACTTTCAGTCAAATATCTTATACCGACTATGAAAATTTACCCGGCATATCCAGCTTCAATCTTCGGTTAAGAATATTCTAGTAATAAAGATTTATTTCAGTGTTGGCAAGCTAATTCTGCTTAAGATATTTAAATGGAAATTAAAGTTTAGAGTTCAGACAATACGAGGAATAATTTTAATATGCATTTAGGTGAATTACAGAACAGAAATATTTATACCAAACTTATTTTATTCGGCCAAAGTTTCAAAACCAGGGACATATCTGGTAAACGTATTTCAAATAAAATATGAGACAGAATCAATCTCTTACAAATCAATCTATGATGTATGATGGATGTTTTACATTTATAAGAGCCCATTCTCTCAAACGTTCTGTTAAACGCTCGGCCGTAGCTTGAACTCTATTTCATAAAAGTAACATAAAAGCACCAACTTCTTTCAAATAGAACTTTCAGTCGATATGTTTCCAGGACACATATTAATGAGAAAATAAATTAAAGTTATTGCTGATAACGATGCTTTTAGTGAAAACTTACATCAGTTGCTGATTCTGATAGACCATCTTCCTTCCCCTCTTCTAAACCGTCCATTTCTGACTTAGTATCTTGTTGACTACTATCTTCCACAAAGTTAAAACCATCAGATTCAGAATGAGAAGAATCGTGAATTATTCTGGAAACAGCAGGATTTACATTTGCACTAGCAGGATGGATCGGCCAAGTTTCTTTGGTTACAATTGCATCGGATATTTTTTCTGACGTATCTTTTTCAATTAGGGGTAAGTCTAGTTCTGTAAAGTTTATCGCAGCACTATCTACGGCAGCTGAAAATTCCAGCAAAGATTCACCTGAAGATTCCTTGACTGGCGACACATTTACTGGCGATCTTTTCTCGGATATTTCATGACTCAAAACACCTAATTTCTCCTCTTGAACCAGTAGATCTTCTGCTGTAACCGATGATTTTTCTTCTGAAACATTGCCAAGAATCTCGACACTACCTGTTATCTCACAGGTTCTAGTAAGTGATACTATATCTTCTCTAGTTTGTGATAAAGAGTCCTGACGAATCCTTCTAGGTAGAGCGTTATATTTAGGAGCTGAGTCTAATAGAAACTCCATAGTGTCTCCAATGTTCACAAAATCCTTTTCCAGCTGCAGCATCACATCTTCAGAAGTCATTACCAAAACAGGATTTATATTCTCTGAGCCAGTATTCCTAACCTCTGAGTCAGGTAAATCTATTTCAATATCAGAGAGCTCGTCAACTTCTCTCGGCAGCGTTATAACAGTGGAAGCATCAAAAGCAAGGGACTCCTCCGACCCGGAATAGCAGAATACTGAGTGAAGTTCGCCCTTACCAGTAGTGTCCCTGAACGATACTGTCTTTCCTTCGAACATATCAGTGTCCTCACTATTAAAGGACATGGCAATGGGGACTGTGACACGTGGGGTGGTGGTAGGAGTTGAGGGTCTATCGCTATCTGACGGTGAATCTATTGTCTCCAGTGAGTCTATTGTCTCTGGAGAATATGTTGTATCCGGAGAATCTGTTGTCTCCAGAGAATCTGTTGTGTCCGGTGAGTATGTTGTCTCCGGAGAGGGTTCTCCTAGGTGAAGAGCACTGATTGTGGTGTACACAGGCTCAACTTTTATCAGCTTGATGCCGGCTTCTTGTAGAGCTTGTAACGATATTTCCTTAACCTCATATGGACTGTCCGTGTTTACCTTTACTTCAACATCGTTCTCCTCCTGGGGACTGCTCTTCGCTTCAACCTTCTCATTTTCATATGTCATATCCTGTAAATCCTTGCAGATATCATCCGCTATCTCCTGGACAGGACTGGTCCTCTGGAGTCCCTCACATTGCAGTGTGTGCCGGTCATGCAGTTCAAGGGAAATTGTTTTAAGATTCTCGTACTTTGAAAGCAGAGGCCCAAGTTTTGGGTTGAAATCTAGTGTTCCTCCCTTAATCTCACTCTCAGATGGTAAGTTTGATACATCAAACCTGAAATATAGAACAATATCACAGTCAGCTCATAATCTTAGTATCTTTAACTTATAGCAATAAGAATGCCCTGTTGCGCGCTGGCAATCAAATCTTTTTGAGAAATTATTGGTTTAAACAGTGATTAGAAATAAATCAGGAGACAAGGAATTGTCAGATAACCAAACAAATGAGATAACCTTGATGTCTTTTGATGGATAACCCTGTATTTAGACACTCCGTAAGCTTCCCTTTCTACCAATTTATCAATACGATTCATCTCGTCGATAAAATATTTCTCTGGAGTGTGCTTTTTGCGAATATTTGGTGGACATTTCTTTTTCGAATTTTTTCTACGTTCAATTGTCTTTAAGGGTAATTTTGTAAATCCTCTGAAAATAAAATTCGTCAGAATATCTTAACAACAATGAGAACCGGACCGTATCTTAAAATATCACAAAGATAATGTAAAATAAGGATAGTAGAGTACTGGGTGTCTTTGTGGTCACAACAGGGCTGATTTAGAAACTATTTTGTGAACTTCTACCTGATCTGTTTCTGGAGCTCAGGTTTTGGGCGAGGTGGCACCTTCTTAACGGACCGAGGTGGCGGACTTGGAACCACTTTAACAAGATTGACTTGGTCTCCTGAACCATTAAAAACTCTAACCTGTAAAGTATTCGATGAAACTTCTTTCAATTATCAAAATATTATCGAAACAACAAACAAGTATTTTTCATTTTGAAAGCTGAAATGAAGTAAGGAATATGAAATAAAATTTTTCAAAAGAAGCAGATTTCTGACCTTCTCAAAGTTAACTTCATCCCAAGAAACAGTCTTTCTGTTAGGATCTGGTGTCCAGTCGTTTGCACTGAAATACTCCGACACTTCTGATGCGGTACTTGACCTGAACCAAACGTTTTAGGAGTTGTTTTCGGTGACCAAAAAACGCTCACAGTTTCAAGATGGTAAATCATCTCTAAACTGTAAACTTATAGACAACGAGTACTATAGCACACAGTACCTCTTTTTAGTCCCAGCCCAGGTCCAGGCCAAAAATCAGTCCTGCAGTCGCGTCCCTTACCTCAGTTTCCTATGTTACACAACATGACGTGGTACGTGCTAATAGTCGCCTGAACTTCACAACAGTTGTTAACTGTTAAGGCTTATTATTGGGTATATAAACCTCCTCACAGTGGCTACCCAGACTACCTTAGTTTATTTATGACGGGTAATATTGTGGCGTACACATATCAATACTAATAATCTCAAGACGTGTGTCTGTCTGTCTGTGGGTAATTTCCGAGCGGTTTAATCAAGAAAACAGTAAGAGTTATGAAACAGGTTCTTCCGGTATAGTTTCGACAAAACTCTGACGAAGCCAAATAATTAAGGTTGTTAAAAATCGGCCGGTGGTAAGTGGTTTAATTGATGGTTTTGTATGAGACCTCTGGAAGGGGTAAACCCTTATTGAAACCCCTTACCTTGAATGAGACCTCTGGAAGGGGTAAACCCTTATTAAACCCCTTACCTTGAATGAGACCTCTGGAAGGGGTATACCCTTATTAAACCCCTTACCTTGAATTAGACCTCTGGAAGGGGTAAACCCATATTAAACCCATTACCTTGAATGAGACCTCTGGAAGGGGTAGACCCATATTAAATCCCTTACCTTGAATGAGACCTCTGGAAGGGGTAAACCCATATTAAACCCCTTACCTTGAATGAGACCTCTGGAAGGGGTAGACCCATGAGATCCAAGAACCTCCTGCTGTTCCCATATCACGGTTCAAGATCAGCTGCCGCCATTTTTACCAGGTAAGTGTTTCCCGTTTTTATTACTCCTAGATTATACAAGAGATGTGAGATATCCCTCATATTAAAGTAAAAATAAAAAATTCCTCGTTTTGTGCGATCTCGACTTTGATAGGTTAAAGCATTTCACTCTAACTGATGCCAAAGTGATATCAAAGTAAAAATGGCCGTGATCAAAGATTTGGTTTTTGCTGTAAATATTTCATAATTTAATTCCTAACATAGTTTGATGGTTTAAAGTAATAATTTCATCAAATCATAAACCTAAGTTTGTGATTTAGTCGCAAGAAAAAATGATCAAGTCACTAAATGTGCATACTTTGCAGGAATTAAACCCTAAAATAGCTAATACAACTACTTGTTGACCACCCTTTCCTGCAAATCGTATGTGATTTCATCTGCAATATTTTCAGAAATTTTGGGGCTTGGCTAAGTCTTGAGTAGTTTGACATTTTAAATTAGGTGAGAAGATCGCTTCATCCGGCAGAAATAGCTTGGGCGACAAAAAGTTTTAAAGTTAAAACTTTATGATTTACTGGAATTTACAAGGTCACACATCCTCCATGAACAATCTCTTTCAGAATACATTTTTATATTGGGTGCGACATATGACCCTACTCAAAGGGACGGACTATTCATGTAGTCGCTTATTTCATCCTTAATCTGACCTAACAAATTTGAAAATTCTAAAAAAAGAAACAAGCTTACTATTTTTGCACAGAAAAAAATATTTTCAAAAACAAAAATTTGATATTTTACCACAAAATTATGGAAACAGGATCTAAAAGAGTATACAAGTCTACTTTTTTAAACCACAAGTATTTTCAACCTCAAACCCGGTAAAAACTAAAAGTAAGTGGAAAATTTTAATCAAGGATGAGAAGCTTGGATTCTATTTTGGGGTCCGTTTCTATTTTTGGTGATATCGAAATTTACAAAAACGAAGAGGATGAAGAGTTCCAGCTATAAGTATAAGTCGAAGTCGAATAGTATAATACATAATTGTCGTACATTATCTTATTATTTTAAGCAACTTTTCCGGCCATTTATTTAAGTTTTAATTTTATAGGGGACGAAGTGAGAGTCTGCACTTAGTGTTTAAAACAAATAGTTGTCGACATTTCGGAACACGCCTTAGTCATGGATGACATAGGTGCGATATACAATTTTTGATTAGAAAAATGAATTTATTATTTATAAGAGGATCAAGAAAAGCCTCGGTTCCTACGAACGAATTATTCAGCATGGATGATTTTGTTGTTATGTAAGAAGTTATTGTAACGTCTCTTCCATGACAATAAGGCGTGTGCCGATTCTGCTGAAACGTCGACAACTATTTGTTTTAAAAACTGAGTGGAGACTCACACTTCGTCCCAAACTATCAAATAATATGAATATGATCGACTAACTCATAAGAGCGAAAAAATATTACTATTATTTAAGTTTTATTAATTTTCCAAAAATAATAAAATGTCGACAAAAACATATTCTAAGTGTTTATAATTATATCGCTAAATCTGTTCATTAAATTTGTTCACTCCCAACTCCTTGACATATAATTAAGAACAGTGACCTAAGGCAGGTCATATATGCTAAGAAATAAGGTATGATATGTTGGTGTGTGGTACCAAGTGTTAAAATATTAATTTTATGAAGCAAGTATTCTCCAACATATTACCACAACAAAGCCCTTGTTTGCAAAACATAATAAGATTTCACAGAATGTGATCGATGCTTGAAGTTGAAAAGAGGTACTTACCAAGAGCTGAATATTTTATATCATAAAGTTATAACGAAATCAGCATAATTTTAGTTTGATTCTACGTTTGGATTCGGTTTGACGAAAGTGTACCTATAATTTTGAACTTAGAGTCGAAGAATTTCATTGCAAGTATACTCGCGGATCTCAAAAAATATGTCCATTAGTATTAGTATTACAGTTTTACTCAATCTGATTTAGTCGTGTATTGTTCATAATTATTGAGTCGCATGATTTGACGTTTCTTTCATTCAAATTTCTGATTGTTAATCATGAATAGACTCAGTGAAGACAGATTCTATATGTATTTAATTGTAGTTTTGAAAATAGTTTGATAGTAGTTTAATAGTATTAGTAGTTGTGGAAATAGCTTTATAACTATTTTCACTTGTACGATTAAATAAATTTATTGAGAATGTGATTATGACGTAGAAATATCGATAGTGATACGTTATTTAGCTATTTATTTCCATTAGAATCTGTCTTCACTGAGTCTATCCAGAAACAATCCGAAATTTGAATGAAAGTTTTACTCAAATTATAATGATGCTTCCTTTTCTTTTCGCAGAATTGACACTTGATCGAATTAGATGGTTTCATGGCAGCACGCATCTTACTTCATACATCTTAATGGTACCCCGAAATCAATCGATTCGTCCCCAGCCGTTCCACCTCAACTATGTGCGCAGTGTCTAAAAATAGAAGCTGAGATCATGCACTTTCGTTATATAAGAGCTGGCGCTCTTGAGGCCACTATATAAGAAGGGGTGGCAAGCTAATGCAGACAGTAGCGATCATTTGCATCATTTTAAAAACACCTAAATCAGTTCGATAGCAATCCGTCAAATAGTTCGTATCAAACTGAAAATGATTAGGATTTTTGCTTTTTTCATCATCCTCCAATTCCAACTTGCGGCCAGTAACCGACTTTGCTCAAATCGGAACCACTTGCATTTGCAAGCTATTATAAATTTGGAAACAAAAATTTCCACTAAATTATTGGACGTTGTTTCGAGGTTCCCCGCTTCATGGTGAGTAGTTTCTTTTTCCCTTTTACTTCTTCTTTAATTTTCATGTTTTATGTTCACATAGCATGATCCACGAAGCAAGGTTTTCGCTTTTGAATTTTGAAATGGCCGCATTTTCGTAAAAATTCAAGTCATTAATTGAGTTCACCAGATCTTCCAGTATTCGAGGACGACAAGGCTATCCTAGAATTATAATTATAGTTTAATAGTTTAGCCAGCATTAAAATGTGAAACAGTGGTTAATTTATTTGAGTTTTCCAACCGTACTGTGCTTGTTCTAATCCGGCTGATATTTCAGGAAAGCAAAACAGACTGTAGAAGTATCTGAAGAAATGCTCCAAGATAAAGCCAGGACTATGATGGACCTTATTGAACTTACAACTAACATAATCTCACTAGGAACCAGTAAGTACAGTATTGAGTATATGGAACTTTTTTGTTTTCCACAGAATTTTAAGTAAGTTAACCTTTTAAATCTTGAAAGTAAGCGCAGTTTATGGATTTTTTTGGTTTATGTGTTGGAATCTTATGCTAAATTTAGACTTATAGGAATATCATTAAACACCAACGTTTTGGTTGGTTAACACAAAAAAACGACACAAAAAGTGTTATCACGACAAAGAGATTTTAAACTCCCACCACTCTACAGAACTTCAACATTAGGATAGAAAACTTGACGCTATTTTGTTTCCAGGACATCCTCTCCTAAACGATCTGGCAGTCCACGCCGCATCTCTCGGGACTCCACTGAGAGACCTGAAGTCATGTGCTAACTACTACCCCTCCTCAACTGTGGGGGATTTAAGAAATAACAAATCAGTCCTTCACTACATCGGGGACAGTCTACTGAGGCTGAGAATACTTGCGGCGGATCTTTTTATTCACGAGCATGCAACTGTTGGACGCGGTTGTCGGAGGATATGAGTTTGTGTTAGTGGTATGGTTTTAGTGGTTGCTTTTTAAAGCATTTTTCTTTTTTAGGATTCAGTAAGAATTTTGTGATTATTATCAGACAGATTTTGATAATTTTATTTGATGGGGCCGTAATTGTGATTGTGTTACTACTGGGTAGTATGGACTGACTTTCTTGGTGACTGCATTATGCATACCATGGGTGACTTTATAGTATGTATTATTTTAATTTATACGGTTATTTATTATTATTCAAGTTTTGAAGGACGGGATTGTTACATTTTTGTTTTTGGATATTCTGATCCAATTTGTTTTTATTTAAATCTATTTATTTCATCTTATTTTATTTGATACATGATTTTTCTTGCCTCCTACCTATCGTCGTAAAAGGCTGTTGATACAATTAGGATATTTCTTATAACGAAAGTTTTATAATAATAAACCTCAAAATGTAGGAGAAATTTTGCAATCTTACTAACCGCAAAATAAACAAATGTTCTAGAACTCGAAACAAACAAACAAAACTAGAAAACTTTCCGCAGAATTTAATCAACTTAATAACACCAGAATGTGTGTGTGTCTGTGTGTCTGTGTGTCTGTGTGTCTGTGTGTAATTTCCGAACGGTTATACAAAAAAAACGGTAATAGTTACGGGACTGGTTTTTTCGGTATAGTGCCGACAAAACTCTGATGAAGCCCATACGCAAATTTTTTTTAAATCGGCCGGTGGTAAGTGGTTTAATTGATGATTTTGTTCCAGAAATGTGACATAAATGGATGGGAGAGAGAACGAGGAGGATAACATGTACCGTAATTAGTTTAGCCCCACGTAATTATTATAAGCTTAGAGCTCACTCTTGCGGCCGCTTTGTTTCAACTGTAGGGAGATTTCATACTTTCATAAGACAGCGTTATGCGTGATATCAAATATATAATGCGGTTGTATACTTTTACATGGCAACTGTGACAGTAAAGTCCCGGCCGAAGGCACGGGTTACACTAGTAACGAGAATAAAAGGATATGAAGCCATCTTAAAACAACAAAATATCACTACGAAGTATACAAACTTTACACAAACAATACTACAATATTCACGTGTATCATTCTGGAAACAGTTTTACAATGTCTGCTGTAGTTTCCATGGAAACCAAGTAACGCAGTTCCGTGATGAGCTGACAAGCTCTCAGCTCTATAAAAGTGAGATCTCGTAATGTGGCATTTCAAATTATCAGTTCACACTTTTAGTAAATTGCGTTTGGTGATGTATTGTTGAAATTCAGTGCCTCCTTAGAACTGTCGCAATTGTTTTCAGTTTGTTCACACGTTGAAATTGAAAGCTTTGATCGCTATATTTTCTCTTCCGATGTGCCACTGGCTCGATAAGTTCTTAGAGTATGGATAAGGTGAATTATAGCCCTTTTCAGTCCAACTTTCAATCTATCATTGCATTGTTCTAGTTAATCTCAAATCATAATCTCAAATCTTTTCCTGTAATTTTACCTGTGATTTGCCAGCACGAGGTGAACAGTGAAGATGGGGAACTTAATCTCAAATCTTTTCCTGTAATTTTACCTGTGATTTGCCAGCACGAGGTGAACAGTGAAGATGGGGAACTCATTGCATTGTTCTAGTTAATCTCAAATCTTTTCCTGTAATTTTCCCTGTGATTTGCCAGCACGAGGTGAACAGTGAAGATGGGGAACTGATCATGGCCGATGATTACGACATTGCCCTCCCTAGTCACTCTTCAGGTGCAGCGTCCACCACTATTAGCATCATTTTGAAAATCCTTCCTTCCAAATATAAGAACTACTAGTACTTAGAATCTAGGATTTTAGAAATAGTTCACCCTCATGATCAATTATTCTGATTCAAGCTTTAATTTTAAGACTCATCGAGACTGATTCTTGTTTGATTCGACAGTGTCGCTATAGTAACTAGTAACTACAGTAACTATTTACTATTCGACAGTGTCGCTGTTGGAGCTAGTTGAGAATGTCGGAGTGCCAGAAACTCCAGATATCTTAGACATTGACAGGTTTGTCCGTATTGTCCCGGTTTACTGCGTATCTCGACTTACCGTGTTTTTTAAAATTTCTTCCATTTCCCAAATACTCAAAATCTCTTCTCAATCGCTATTTTCAGCTTATCCCCCACTTATTCAAACTCCACATACACCAACTCAACCTTCACCATGGACTCCTGCTCTCGTTACTATGACGACAATTACACAGGCTCAGATGTGATGTTGTTGGAGAGCCCTGAGGTTGTCATCCAAACTACCAAACAGTCAGTAACTCCACCAAAACCTAAACACAAACTAGAGTTCAGTCTGAAGTGGTCAAAGAAAACCAAATCTCGTCCAAAAGTGGAATTCAGTCCTATAATTGAGAAAGGGAAGGTTCTGGTTGAGACTCGAGAAATGGCAAAAACACCGTCACCTCCTAGACAAGCAGCACCTAAACAAGGTCGGACAAATAATATTCAAAACCACATATTATTGTATTTTACCTTATCGGACCTTATTTGGACGGACATTAAAATTGTCATTAGCGATTCATCAAGAGCGCTTTTTCCATGGGATTTATTTTCGTTGACTAACATATTGCGTAGTCTGAACTCTGATATCATTGTGGTAATTTAATTTCCCGAAGCTGCAAGATTTTGCAGTTTTCAATTCCCGGGTGCAGATAATTATATAGTCTACACGGCATGTAAACAGGGATTGGCTAGTTAGAGGCGGTCCGTGTAGGCCTTACACTGTGCTTTCAGCAATACTCATAGACTTAAAATAGAATTAAAGTCGATGTACCAAACGCTTAAGGGCTGTTGCAATCTATAAATAAATTTTATATTGGAGAAACTCTTTAGTCTCGTCTAATAGACAATGTCCTTGGCAACACGATTTACCGTAATATATGTAGAGGCTGGAACAAGTTTGTAATGTTGGCGGGGACTAGCTCATGAACTATGTAAATGTTGTTGAGTGCCATAATTTCGTTGACTTTTCCGCAAAGTGCCCCTTGAAAACTTCATATATTAGTAGAGTTTTTTGTGCCTCCGGCAGACCAAGGAAAACCTTTCCGTCGTTAACTTACGGCACAATAAAGTTCTCATAGTTGTCATATTCTGGACAAACAGTTCGAATTTTTGAAAAAAAAAGGACTTTAACTTGGACGGACCTTAAATGAACGGACTTTATTTGAACGGACATTAAGATGAACCTTAAGGCCTACAGCGTTCAATTAATGTCCGTCCAAATAAGGTCCGATAAGGTATACTTTAATACTATTTGCCTTATCATGTAAGCTTGGCAAAACTGTTACAGATTTAAAAAAGGAAAGTTACCTGATAAATATAAATCATGTGTGACTACAAGTGACTACAAATGACTACACGTGACTACACGTGACTACACGTGACTACACGTGACTACACGTGACTACACGTGACTACACGTGACTACACGTGATAACAAGTTTCATCGTTTTCAGTTAAATTAGAGAGGAATATAAGCTCCAAGATAAAGTGCAGCTTTTACCACTATCTTTTGTAATTAGCAGCTGTTTTAGTGTTTACTACATACTATAGAATTCTCTGTACCGTGAAACTCTGATATTTGTACCGTTAATTTTCCCGTCGTATATTTAGTTTGCTGGCTTTCACAGTACATACTTGATACTGACGCATAACTAAATATGTCAATGATTCATTCGAACAGGCGGGGAAGTAGCGATCAACCTCCTAGTTATATTTCGGCCATCAACCCTGAATTTGGGGGTGGTTCGTCCGGCTCCGAACGTAGCCTTGCCCTTTCTCCATCAGCGCCCCCTTTTCCAAATCACGAGGATGTGATTGTGAATCAGTCTGGAGGTGTGAGAGTGACTTTTATTTTACAACAGAACTTTATTTTTTCACCTAGAACCTGAAACATGAAATTACAATACCGCATCCTGACGGACACGACGTTTATGCGGCAAGTCAAAACCACGGCTCCTTCCACGAACTCTGAATACAGTACAACTATGTCAGAGCTTCAACAAAATTAACCAATAACTGAGTTCCTTCAGAGTTGTTCGGAACGTGGCCCATAGTGGACGTTCTCCCGAGAACCTTCAGAGCCCGGTTTATTGATGACGATGAGGTTTCAACTCCAGATAACAACTCATCTGTTAACAATAAGATTGAAAAGGAAGCCCCAAAGATTCAGCCAGGGAAACACGGTTCGTAACAAGAAAAGAAAAAGAATAGAGATTTAACTTTATATGTAACTAGTTCTACCATTTTAATTGCCATTGAATCGACCTCAACCAAACCTCAATGAAAATAATAAACGAAAGATAAAAACCAGATCCCTTTTTCGTATCACACCCCTCTACTCTCCAGACCAAATGGAGAGGACCTCGTCCCCCGGCCTCATTTCCCGTTGGTACTCGGGAGTATTCAGGAAACGTGAGAACTGTGCCACCCCCATCGCTGATACTCTAGCTCAAACATTTGCTGAAGGCCGGTTTGGTTTGATGCACATGTACAAAGAGGTGGCTTCATTTTGGATAAGGCAGTCCGGGAGAATCAACTCGTTTCCTAAGGAGAAGATTGCATTCGGAGACCTATATCTTAGGACAGGAAAATTGGTAGGTGAGCGAATCTTAAACAAATTAATAAATTTTTATCTCATAGGTCATTTCTTTGAATTTGTAACCTTAGCCATTATATTGTCGGGATCGTAAGCCTTGCTTGTGGGAATAATTTAAAATTCAGCTTGCCAGTTTGCGGATAAGATAACGGCTAACTGAATTCAATGACGATACAATTTATTCAGCGTACAAATTTAATAAACCTCTCGCTAGCGTGCTTATTTTCCGATTTCAGCACTGACAATCCAATAAAACTAACAGTTTAACCAAATAATATGATATGTAAACCATTATCAGCATAAATCTGACCGGTTATATCAAGCAGATATTTTAGATTTATATGCTAGTATCCTGCACACTACTACACGTACTTGCATGTTCTTCTAGAACTGCTGCATATATAATTACAGGCTGACGTTTTGTTCTCGTTTTGTTGTTTGTGCATATTTCTGTTTGTGTTGAGATCTGAGATGAACAGGCAACCAGCGCCTTCCCAGTATAACTGTAGTCAAATTATTGAATTCTGATAATATTAATATTAATCCGACCTCAATTCGACATTGAGCCTTTACTTTAGTTTTCGATCCCCGCCCTACAATGAAGTACTCGGTAAGAAAAACATTAACATCCTGGCCACGTGTTATTTTTTTCCTTGTGGCATAGCCATAACAATTTGAATTACAATATTATCATCATAGTAGGTATATAGTGCGCCATTGACAGTGAGCCGCGCGTGCCGACTGTAGGATGGTTTTTTAGCGCTAATTTCGGCCAGCACAATTTTCTTCAAACAAATAGATATTAAGTATCCTTCCCGACCTCCGATTGCAACAAAATTGGTAAGCTTACTCATAGACTTACAAGGAAGGTGTCCGAAAAGTTTAAAGCATATCCGACCATCAGACATTATGTTACAGCTAAAAGCAGCGTATTTTGCCCCATTTTGATCACTATATCAACTCCGATATCCACCAAATTTTTCGGACAGTTGTGAAAGCCCTATTGGAAGGTCGTCGCCAATTTTCAGAATGATCTCATTTAAGGAACTGAAGATATATCCAATTCACAATTAATACGACAAAAATCAACGAATTTGGTAAAATTTCGCGACTTTTACTGTTTACAGCTAATTTTGCTCCAAAAGCCGCGCACCATCAAATATGGCACCTAGGCGAAACTCACTGATCTTTCCAAAAAGGTATGACAAATTTGGTATTGTGAAAATTCTCACAGTCTCTAGAAAACAATGGTACAAAAAATTTTTAAATCCGAGCAAGTTTATTTTTATGGTGCACCCCCTAATCATAGCTTTGGTCTTATTCAGTTTATCATGGCGATGAGAAGAAATCCGAGTGTTCTAAGTCTGCCAAAAATGGCAAAATATCAGGTACAAGCCTAAAATTTGCTATTTTTAATTTTTGACTTTTTGTACTTTGTACTTGTAGTTCTAAATCTAAATTGCCCATGGTGCATGGATGTGCAGGCTAGTAAACGCGAATTCAATTGTTTTGGGTGAGGGTTGAGGCTGAGGCTGAAATCAGGTTATAGGTTAAAGGTTACAGGTTAGGTTCAGGTTGTCTCACGTCGTGTTCCTCATCGCCACGATATCAGATATGGCCTGCCATGCCGCGCACTCATACGATCGAGTGCGCGGCGCGGCGGGCCTATAACGTGAGGCAAGTAAAGCTAAGTTTGGGGTTAAAATTGAGGTTTGGGTTTATGTCAAATTATATTTGTCCGGCTGAAAACCCATAAAATTTCAGGTCTCGTGATATTTCTGGGCAAGTAAAATTATATTTACGTGGGGACCTCAGACTATCATGTTCATAAACATAAAAATTCGGCGGAATGACAGGCTGAGCGCGGCCCAGTATGCAGTAAAATAATATAATCGTTTATTAAATTATGGACAAACAATTGGACAGCTAATTATTGTGTATAGTATGAAAATTAAGCATTCAATTCCAGGCATGCTAATTTACAATGACATTATTTTGATATGTATGTATTTATGATCTAAAACTAATAAAAACTATAATATTAAAACATTGAACAAAAATTGCATAATTAATAATTTCAAATTTGTGACCGCATCGAGAATGAAAATTATAACCTATACATTTATTTGGGGACCCCAGCCAGGCTAATAGGTTTTATTATCAGCTAAGCTAAGCTGCGGATGAATGGCAAGCTAGCCTCAGCGCCGCCCAGTAACTTATGTACTAAAAATTAAAACTTTAATATTGTAACAATTAGCTTAATATATATATATTTAAAGTCACTATTGTGACGGTACATTAGAACTTCAACTAGACAACTAAACAAAGTGTGAAGGGCCTGAAACGGAACCCCTCGGTTTCAGTTCCTTGTTTAACACTGCCGTATATATACAATATAGCTATAATACGTGTTGGGGTTTTGCTTTGGCATATGTTCTAGTATGGTAACTGGTAAAGCTTTAGGCATTAAGAAATTGTGTTAGGGTATTGAGGTTCATAATCATTTAACTGTCAGATTTATTGGATGTTAAAAATGGAGTATTAGCCTGGATTCATAGCGCGCACGGTGTAAAATGAATTATTTACGCCGCGCATAAAACAGGTTTTATCATGTTTTAAAATCGTTTGCGGAGTAAAGCCATTTAATTTGGTACTCTCCTCCTCGCCCTACAGCAACCTTGGTACTAGTTTTTCGTCTTCCCCGTCTTTGTCTATCCAAGAGTAGGGTACATTTTATACACAAAGAAATACCCTTAACTGGAACAACGAAGTTTTTCTTGGATTTGGTGTTGGTTTATCAGTTGGTCCGTGTAAAAGGAACTCTCGGTTCCTGATAACGTTTCGCCAACATGGGGAAAGATGGGGTAAGTTTGTGGCGGGAATTTATGTTAAATTATCTTTCAGCTAAGCTATATTCCGATAACCACATATTATATTTACAGTATTACTTTGCCTTTGGCCACATCCTTCACGTTCATTCCACCAAATGCACTTCTTAGAGACGTTCTCAAAGTTCATTGACTAAGAAAACCTCACTTAAAATCACAATCCAGCGATTGGTTTCGTCCTAAATTTTGTATTTATCGTCGTACAAAATAAAATGAATCGTGGAATCAACTGAGCGCTTGCAAGACATAAACTTAGAGCTCATATCCAGTTAAACTTCAAATGGAGCGAGAGTTTGTCTCAAATTACGCGGACCCGAAATTATTTGCTCAGAACAATAACGTCGTGGCGGACAGAAATTAAATTCCAATAATTGGCCTTAGATTAGATGCATCACTGTATTAACCACTTCGTATTTCGTCCAAATAATTCGCCTTAAGAACTAGAACCGTTAAACTCCGTTATTAGAATAGTGTGCCCTCTAACATTGTTTACTAACACTCTTCTCTCCAGCCATCCATTACAGATAACCTCATTTATTTTATTATTCCCTCAGAAACTTTTCAAAAAGGACCGGATTATTCGGTTTTAACTCAATTAACCTTTTCTACTTTATCGCCCATCGCCACTTACCTTGTAAATTTAATTAAGTCGCATGAGCCACTCAGATTACTCATATTCAATTATTCCCCCAGTACATCACAGAAGAATTTCACGATACCAACGAGGATTCAAATTCACCGGAAGTCGGTTCATCTTCACATTCACCATTTCCTTCACAACTCTTCAGTTTCATTCACTATAAAATGTCTTTATCTCAGTTCCGTTTAAAAAAATCTTTCTTAACATTCCTTAAATCTTCAGTTTAAAAAGTTGAACAAGAAGGAGAAGAAGACCGAGGATTTAGATGATCTCAAGAAGGAGATGGACATGGACTGGCACAGGATATCATGGGAAGAAGTGTGCACACGTCTCGAAACAAACGTGGAAACCGTAAGTTTTAACCTCGCATATTCTTACTCTGTCATCACTCGCCGACACAAGCGTACACACGTGAAACACTTCATAGCTAATTAGACCAAGACACACTAGTGAAGTGGCCCTGTCCTACGTCAACCAGTAGATGTTAGGTTTGCAATCTAGACGGTAAACAGATGGTCAGTGGCAACGTGTAACCAATTTCTAGTGCTATCCCGAGCCAGAAGCGGTACATTCTGGGTGTAGAAGTAGGAGATCTATTAATATAGCAATTATACTGCTTGACTTTGTGGCTGATTGTCCCCAGAAAGTAGGGATTAGTGCCAGGTTAAATGTAATATTCACATAAATGTAATATTCACATAATCTTACTTCGCCGAACAAAGGATATTCAGATTTAACTAGAATAATTAATTTTAAAAGATTCCACATCTGCATTGTTAACCTGAAGTGGGCACAGTATTGGGTCACGCACAGATGTAATTAGTCTGTAAAAAGCTAGAACCAAAAGAGAAGTAGTATTACTAGCCATAACTAAACGTGAAGTACCGTACCATTAAACACAACCCTACTGCAGTGGGAGACATCAGACTATTTTCTTAGTGAAAAGTACTAGCAAGGTTTCGTGAAGTCTATGGCACTTGCGCTATTTTCTGCTCTGTCGGCTGCAGGCAACCTGGGTGTGCACACATAATATTCGGCATAATTATTCTGATATAGAACATAACGTATTAGGTAAATTTTCGTAAGTAGGATTGAATGTAGAATTCCAGGAAACTACAATTAGATTTCAATAAACTACCATTGCTAATAGAGTATACTGTCGACAGATCGGTATCGTTAAGTGAGCACTACGCAAGCCTCTCATGTATTGCTAACTAAACCTGGCTTACGTTTCTAACACTTCACGTGTTGAGATCCTGCACATGTAAGGTAGTACATCTTCCTCATTCTCGTTCTCTACTTGTGAAGAAGCTAGCTTTACAAGGTAGTGCCGATATCTCATTTTAAATAGTCAAGGAACTTATCATGTGGCATTCTTTTCTTTCAACTAATCCAGGCCATAATCCATCTGTTAATCTTCAGAAAATACACAATTACTGAGGAATTAATTCCAATAATTCCATAAATTTTAATCATACATTCCGTTGGATTATATCGGCCTCTCCAGGCCGGTGTGATATGTTATACAGTATACACCCTTAACTAAGACCGGTTTGGTCTGATTGTAGCCAGTGTGTGGTTGGGCGAGTTATTATGTACATATCAGACTGAATATCAGTTCATAGATAATAGATGTGACGCGGGGCGGAGCAGTAATAATTAATTGTATTTCTGGATATGTGGAGCTGTCCGGGGGGATGCAGGTATAATGACTGGGTATTACCCGGGATCTTCCACAATGAGGTCCTGGATATGTACACATGACACGCTTCAATAGGATTCAAGTCCTTCACTGCACGTGTGACGTAGGTCATGGGTATTCTTTTATGCGGTCTTGCTTTATGATTCAAAATGGAGGGCTGAAAAATGTACACGCTGAGTCGCTACTTATAATGGAGCTGTAAGTGTGGATGCACATCGTTTGGTTTCCTGTACGACATATGTGTGTATGTGTGTGCGTGTGTGTGTGACGTTATTGAGCGTTTAGTGGGTTGCTATAATTATAAGTCGATAAATGTATAATAGCCAAATATGTATTGTTATACCGTTCAATTCATGTCCCAGACTTAATGGCCAAGAAATATTTGTCTTTTGAGACCAAAATATCAGTGCAGTGGGATGTTACAGTAAGTTACATAAACAGCAGAGTTAATGTAATCATCGCTATTCCTAAATAGAAAGAAATCGTAAAACTTTCGTAGAACTCGAATTCATAAAACACGAACAAGAATTCATACAAATCTAAAGTATGTTTTAACACCGTATTGGAAATATGTAATTTTTTATTTATTAAATTCAAGTTCGTACAAGAGATAGTTTAAAACAACGCCCAAGTCTAATGTTCCCAAAACAAATAACTAAATGTCAAAACTTCACTGTAGAGTCTGCCAATATCTCTTGTCATTAAAGCTAAATTACGGAGATAGTTTAGATCAAAAATATCATCAATAAATAGATTAAGTTTACATAATCATGCACAATCAGCGAAAATAGATTACTTTGGTGTCTTCCTCTTCTGCCTCAGTGAATTGATGGCAAAAATGAGGGAGGAAAACGCTGGTCCATCAATAGGACCCCGCAAACATGGCCTAACTTTCTCCACCGACTACGGTCCATCTTTTCTGACAATGTTTCAGCATTCCATCGTTTATACAAGTTTTTAATGGAGATGACTCCTGAGTACTTCATATTCAAAATGAAGCGAAGATGTCTGCGGTGAACAACATCTAATTTCTCGAGTTTAGGTCGACATCATCACTCATCAGCATATTCGGTGTCAAGTGGAAGGCCAGCAATAGTTGTCGAGGGAAATCGGCCTATCTAAACTGATAGTTATAGTGTATCTAAGTTCATTCAAAGCACCAGCTAAGACAAGGATAAATTGTCACCTGGAAGGCTCCGAGAAGACTTAAAAACTCAGTTGAAAGAACTGTAATATTTTAAAGGTTCAAAATAAAGTTCAAACAGATTGAATAAAACTGTTAAAACTGAGTATTATCCGTGCTAAAACTAGACGAAAGCAAAACTGAAGTTACCCACAATGTGGGTTAACTTCATGTGGGTCCCACATAACTCAACATGTTACAGTTGTATCAAATTATTGTGTGATAAAATATCGATCGTTGAGCTACACGCAAATAGGTCATAGTGTTGATAAGTTTTATTACCTTGACGCTTACTTTCTACGGTAAAAATGCTAAAGCCCTGTATTATTAAAATGTTCTTGAAGAAAGCTAGGATTATTAGATTGATATAAAACGTGTTTTCTACCTTGTTTGTCATCTAAATTGTCATCTACATCTATTACCTACCTGAATAAAGGAATATCTTCTCACTTACTGAGCGTCACCCTCGTCTTGCATGTTTAGTTTACAGATGTTAATGTTATGTCAATAGTGGTTACACAATTATCTATGTAAACAATAACATTGCATTGTTTGATGTAACTATGGTAACGGTACGAAACACTCAACATTTTGTTCCACATTTACCCAAATACCCAACGCTGCACTGTCAAGTTGTCATGGTAACTGTCATTCAGTCAACTCTTTTCCGTCTAACATTCCTCAGTATTCACTCTGTTTCTAGCAAATAAAAGAAAATTGTGTGATGTATTGAAAGATTGTATATATAATTGATCCGTTGGTTTGGAGTAAATAGTAAACAAGTGGGTCACACACGCGGTGTCACAGTGACAGTAGACAGTAAACACGGTGTGTGAGTGTGACTAATTGGAATTCCAAGTAAACCTTTTCCACCTCATGCCAATTAGCACATAGTTTTCACACCGCCTCCCGGACTCGCCAGTCACGTGACAACAACCGACCAATTACAAGAGAGATACACAAACTAGCAGCCAATCACCGGGCAGCATGATAAACCAGCGGCCAATAAGGGGTGCTGGGTTAGAATCTAATTTGCTAGACAGTGTATCCTGGAGTGCGTGTAAAGTGTAAATTGGCATTTTGACAACCATGGACTGAGATATAGGGGCCTTCTAGCTACTGTCAATATTTTACAACCTGTTGTGATCGGACCTCCAGTCAGCTGTCTAGATATTTGTGTAAATATAAGTTATTTCCCTAAGGTTGGCTTCCCATTGGATACTCCTTTAATCCTCAGACCCAGTGCAGTACTTACCAGTGCTTTTATCAGGTTGGTGATCATGCAATGGTAACCACAGTAAGGGCATAGTAACCATGTCACAACATGTAAACCAAGGTGATAGGATGGTTACAGGAACTTTTGTAACAATACAGTTACCATGATAACTGTCGGTCAAGTACCATCAACGTATAAAATGAATGTTCACATTCTAGAAGGATTAGCCCCGTATTTCAGTCTCCTCAGAGGTTCAAAACTATCATGGTCCTCCTCCACTTAGCCTTTACGTTATCCCCGTGACATTTAAATCCCCGTGACTTAATGTTATCCCTGTTTGATAAAGGGGGATATTTCCAAGGTTTCAATGCGGTTGGCATCAGTCCCACAGCAATGTATTACCAAAACTATACATACCCTCACTCCTCGTGTGAATCTAACAGAATCTAACAGACTTTATCACAAGAAATTTAACGAATGGTATGTACATATCAGTTGAAATAAATAAATTAAACCGCGTTATACCGCTATAAGAATTAAGATAATTAACTACCTACTATCGTAGTTAATAGTTATTATATTATTATAATTAAACATCCAATATTGTAGAGGTACGGTTGATCTGAAATACACAGATATTGTGTGTACCCATCACTGGTCTGCTGGGTTTTCAGAGTGAAATAGTGATCTTCTCACTTAGATTACATCTAATAACTGTAATTATCCCTAGAATAAAAAGCAGCATCATTAAAAGATGAGCAGCCAATTACTGATCACGTGCTTTCCTCATCCAGCCAATCAGATCCTAGTATTTTGATCACGTGACGTAAACCAACCAATCAGAGCAGCCCATTCCGGGTCGCATTAAAATCGTCTTCTTCCTGTCCGTGCCCTGCCGGTCGCTGATTGGACTGTTTTTGTCACGTTTCCTAGCAACGCAGATCCGCCATTGGTTAAATACCGTCACGTTGTATAGTCAATTAAAGGCCCAGGATTGGTCGTATCATGGCACGTGATACTAAAACTCCGTTCTAATTGGATAATGATGATCTTGACTGATACCAAGTGTCCAAGATGCACGCTGTGCCCGTTAATACTGGGCTTACTGACATTTACTCCCTCTAACAAGGACCTGGCTAAAATACACAGCAAATTTACACGTTATTATTACACTACTTATACTACTACTAATATAAGTTATATTTTATTATGTTATATAAGTGCATCATATGGTATTTGGGATATATCAGAATTGCGGCCATATTAAATATTTTATAAATGCGCTTAAATAAGATATACCATAAGTGCGAATATATTAGAAATTTACATTTAGGTCTGCTGTCTTTAGCACTAACTGATAATGTCTGTTATGTGACAAGTTATAGGGTAAGATAGTCAATTTTCTCATGAGACCAAAAAGGCTGAAACCACAGCAGTGGTAACGGCTCATTACACCGTCAAATAATATGTAATCTACACTGCATACTGCTAGCGATAACGTTTATCATATATTCCATTACATTTCTTATCTGTTATGAGATGTAACCAAAGATAATATTGTAAATGTCTGCGAAAACTGCGCATAAAATCAAAGAACTCTTCACCCTCCCCACTGATACGCTCCAAAATAACCAAACTATGGCGTAATAAATAGCAGCAGCTAAATTGTATTGAACCTACACTCTTACCTGTTAATACTGTGTTAAGTGTACTGGTAATTGTTTATTAAGGGCCAAATTGATGGGTAGTAATCGATGATGTGCATCAGCTCCATCATGCTAGCAATACAGTATATAATGGTAGGCCCCACCCGCCGGCCCTAGTATGTGCTGTAGTAGTATTGTGATTACTGTAATTCAATATAGTTAGTTGTGTCCTGATCTATTAATACAATCTAACGGATATAATTATACTTCTTCTTTTATAAGCTATGATTGTGGAGTAGGGTTTTCATTGGTTCGTCTAAATTGGTGACTGCCAAGCTAACAAAATAGAATCAACCCCATGATTAAGATCAGTTTATCTTATAGCTATTTCGGTGGTATATTACACCATCATCCATTCTTTAGTAGAAACAAAGCAATTAATAATAATAATAATAAGTAGGAATTTATACATCGCTTTATAGCCATAAAGAACTCAAAACCCAAAGATTCAGTTCAAACCATCTAAAGCGACTCATGAGTAACATGTACATAAGAACTTATTTTTATGTAGTATGGATTTTATGAGAAAGGTAATTAAGAACTAGATGTAAAACTAAATAACTAACTCACGCCTTATCCCAGGGTTTGACACAAGAAAAGTACGAAGAGATCTTTGCAAGGGAAGGTCCCAACTGTCTGACCCCTCCTAAAACCACCCCCGAGTGGATCAAGTTCTGCAAACAGCTGTTCGGTGGTTTCTCTACCCTGCTATGGATCGGAGCCATTCTCTGTTTCTTCGCTTACGGTCAGTTTATCACAAAATTTAAAAAACATATTTTGATTAAATTTCAGATCTCAGTCCAGTTTTAATGTTTCAATATGAGTGAAATAAAATTAATTGGATTTGAAACCAAGTTTAGTTGAGTTTCAGTTGAATTTTCGTGCCCTATACCGTGTGCTGTGTATAAGCTTTATTGGGTTTATCTGTCTACAACTAACTGCAGCCATTAGACACGTATTAGGATAGGAGTGGAGCTCATCTCTTATTTGTCATGAGTATAGCAGTCATTAGCTCGATACATAATCTATGCAGTTCATTATGCTGCATATTTAATATTTATGCGATTGGATTGAGTTGTAGCCCGAATGGTCTTACTGTTCATAGTTTGTGTTAGACCACGCATGAAGGTCTATAATAAACTAAAGATATATTAATATAAGATGGGCGGTGGCTAATACTGGTACTGATTTGTAACAGGTGCCAGTAAACTGTACCAGTAGCTACCAGTAGTTAGTTACTACCAGTAGTACAAGTTTTAATAATCTACCTGACTTCTCAGCTGTATTTAGTAACAAATATACTGTAATGTAAGAAATATAACCTGGAGAAAAGACCACTACAGAGAATTGTTGAAATGAGAATTATTCTTATCAAATTTCCTTTCCTCTGTAAATCAATTATCAAACCACATCACAAGGCTATAACTTGGCTTAGTTTTGTCTCTGGTGGGATTGAGTTACTTAAAAAGCGGTATTTGCCGCGTTTTACATGACCACTGCACAGTGCACCTAGATCTGCGTACAACTAGACAATAGACATGCTCCTTATTAGAAAATATGATGTATTTTTTTCTAATTAAACCATCAGCTCTGGTTTAATTGAATTGTCAGTTAATTAAAAATTGAACTTAATGAACAGTGCAGTGATTGTTCTTGTTGGAACTGTCTCTGAGATTTACGAAACAGAAAAGAGGTGTACCAAAATGGCGACCTGCGTTTGATCAGAAAATTATTATGCTCGACAATTACTAATTTGTTGCTATTTCTGTACTCTTGCGACACGACCACGTTTGCATATTATTTAATAATATTGCTTTAATAACAGAATCGCAAGCAATCTAAAATTAAAAATAATTAATTTTAGTCATAGTGAAAACATCCCAAAATTTGTGAGATGAAAATAGCTGTTCAAGAGAATGGTTTAGCTGATGTTACCTTAAATCTAGATAACTTTGGAAGCGGAGGCTCAGAGGCTGTTTGATGCCTCTCATTTTCGCATTAAATTCATTTTGACACAGGCTAATGCCAAGTTAACCAAACGTCAGTGTACTGTACAAACTTTGATCCAAACTTAAACTCAACTAAGACACATTTAAAACTCAACTAAAATTCAACTAAAACTCAACTAAAATTAAACTAAAACTCAACTAAAACTGCCCTTAAAATGTAACTCTCGTGCAGGCATCCAGTCGTCAAAGTATGTGGACCCAGCTGAGGATAACCTGTATCTGGGAGCCGTGCTGACGTTTGTTGTCGTGGTTACCGGAATCTTCGCTTACTACCAGGTACTTATTGATAATTAATGACTAACTGATCACTTATTATGAATTATATATGCGCATGCATAATAAGCTTTTTGATTTGTATCTGTTCTGAATAATCGTGCAAATCAACGTAGCTTAGAGAAGGAAATTTGTATATGTACCCAGTCGAGCACAAACGGTGTCAATTAACAAATTGATTGAATAACTAATCGATTAACCAACGATATCACCACATAGGAAGCTAAATCCGCCGCCATCATGGACAGTTTCAAAAAGATGGTACCACAAGAAGCTACGGTAGTCCGTGGAGGAGAAACCACCATAGTTAACGCTGAGTTGATTACTCTGGGAGATTTGATAGAAGTGAAAGGAGGAGACAAACTCCCCGCTGATATCAGGATCGTTAACTGTTCTGGATTCAAGGTTAGTCAGGGGAAGGTTGACTTCCCTTTTAAGGGGGGTTCGGCATTAGAAAGCCAGCTTTTTGTTCTAGAATGTTATAGAGACTTCTAGAATAGATACCGGGAAATATTTCCGAGGCGTCAGGTAGGGTACGTGGGACGATATCTTAGAAATTAGAAAAAAATCTTTATAGAAAAAATAGGCGCATATTTATTTATCCGATTATTCTATTCGATTGCTTCATTCGATTATTTGGCCATGGAACTACAACTCGATTATCCTATTCGATTGCCTTATTCGATTATTTGGCCATGGAACTACAACCTGGTCCCGCTATTTCGAGCCTCTTTTTAAACATCCGTTTTTAGTTTAAATTGTCATATTGAAATACGGTATGCAATTATCCCTCGTCTAGTTTGTGACATGGTCAAACCAACGGAAGGTTACCTTCCGATGAAAGAAGTACTCAGAAATTAAAGACCAGTTCTTTGTGATGGGATCCCGGATCTCCCAATGATGTCCGATAACTGTCCGCTAGATAACTACGTTTAGTTGGAAAATGTTTTTTTCCCCGTTTTCAGTGCACATCAAATTAGGTTACATCTTTCTGCTAGCGTCACTTCTTTACAATTTTAGATGAGGAATTAGGTCATAATTCAATATAGTAGATAGTAGATACCAATACGATTGGTGTTGATTTCACACACTTACACTCATCTCTCACATCTTATATATAACTTGAGTAAGTAGCTGAATCTTGTAATGTCCCAATTTTGTGAATTAGACTGGCATTGGATCACTGCCACACTGTTTGGATCTTTACGGTCAATGTTCACAAAGTTCCCTTGTGAACGGACAACGAAATTTGTTTATCTTTTCATCAGTGTGATAACATTTAACAAGAATGTTGGATAACATTTCCATCTTCATAATACTATTCACATCGGCTAATGACGATGCTTTTAAGCTAAAAATGAAATCAGGACCACAGTGATGAAGTTAAAAACGAAATAAATGAATTTGACTGTAACAGTAACTTTGTTACAAGGAACTCTCGATCACGTTTAGTTTAACAAACTCGCTCCTTATAATTGTATTGTGTTCTCAGATGTAATAAGCCTCGACAAACTTAAGTTTTCGGAAGAAACAAGGATAGCCAGAGGTTAACATATCCTGACAGAACTCAAACCAGCGTCCAGCATGTTCTATTGAGCAGGAACAAAGTTACTAATGAAACCACAACCACTGAGGTCTTCAGAACTATCACATTCCTACTGATAATATCATCGGTTAAACTCGTACACGCTCCGTGTGTTGTGCCACATTTCCCGCCAATGTTTCACTCAATATTTCACTATTGAAACCGCAACTACTCTCATGTTGCTGTGAACTCCCTTATTTGTCCCTAAACCGTGAATCATACCTCATGTGATATCTACTATCACGTTTTATTGGCTATCAGCTAAGCTATAGAAAGTGGCGGGAGTTTTAGAAATTAGAACCATAACTCCATGCACCAGGTGCAATTCTAGCGGATGAAATTACGACCGTAAAAGTGAGCTGCATTGTATTGTCCATGTCTAGATTCATATGCACTGCTTCTTTACAGACCATGTACCGCTCAATCTTAACAACATTTCATTCTGAAGAAATGTAGGATTTAACAGTTTGCACTTACTACAATTGTTACTACAAGTGACACATTTTACAACTCAGTTAAGGATTCCAATACGGCGCCGTCTGCCTTTCCTGTCAAATGACGTCAAAAGATGGTCGTAAAAAAGAAGACCCAAAACACATATATAAGCTTATAAGAAACCTTCAACTTATTAAAGTGTATGCTGTGTTTCTCACAGTCTACTTAGTTTGATAAGTGCAGATCTTATTGTAGAAGACAATTAGTGATTATATCACTTGTAATTTTGGAAATTCATTACAATTATCCAATTAGTTGCTAAATGCTGATCTCATGCTAATCACCAGGTTGATAACTCCTCTCTGACCGGAGAGTCTGAACCCCAGTCCCGTGGAAGTGAGTGCACTGATGATAACCCCATTGAGACCAAGAACCTTGCTTTCTTCTCAACCAACGCTGTTGAGGGAGCTGCTCGTGCTGTCGTTATCTCCTGTGGTGATAACACCGTCATGGGTCGTATCGCTTCTCTTGCTTCATCACTCGGATCGGACCGTAAGTCTACTGGAATGTGTTTATAAAATTTTGTAGAAGTTTTGTGCTTGTTTGTTGAAAGATGGTAGAAACTGCTTGCTTGCTACCCTCTTCAAGACGATGGCTGGCCTCCAAACGTTATATAAACTATTACCAGCTTATAATCATGTGTAAGATGTAACGCAGATAGTCATGTGTAATATAAAAGGCGGTTATAGAGTATATATAATAGACTACAGACCCTCATAGAACTTAACCAGTATTATTTAGTAGACCACGAACTTATGTAGACTAGCTACGTGGAACGGTACCGGTATATGCGTAACACTCACATACTAGTTACATACAAATAGCCATGAACCTTCAGACAGATCTATTCTGCTAACATGTGAAAAATAAGCACAGTTAAAAGAATTTAAAAGTTTTGAATTTAAAATGTTTAAAATGTCCAAAGCGCGAAAGAATTGTGATTTAATAAAGTTTTACGCGGCATGATTATTGTGGGGCTAAAATGTAGGGCAGGAATCCCTGAAGGAATCTTAATGAACAATGCTCAAATCGCACAAATTCATTTTAGAGTAATGCGATATGATGGATTACAATTGCAAAATGACGTCAACACTAACAATGCATTTATTAGTAACGTTTTGTTTTGGCCCTTCTGTTCCTTTCGCAGCTATTCGATAAAAACGAGGGGGGTTTAGTGTGCCCCCTCCCCACGAGGGGTGTTTTTCTTCGCGGCTACAATTATTAAGAAATAATGTTTAACCCCGGTCTTCTATGAATGAACAGTGTGTATTGTCAAGTTGTTGAGGGCTACGGAAATCGTAATATATGGGAATATATATGTAATTATATAATACTTCGGCACGCCAAATATCTAATTCCTTCAGATCTCTTTTCGCTTCTAGATCTTTCGGAAACGAAAAATTCAGCTTCTAATTTTTAACTTTTTAAGCGAACACAGAGTATAGTTATAAAATTCTCGAAACTGGGAATCAGGACTAAATCAGTTTTTGAGAGCCGCTCATTTGCACGCCGTACCATCAATCGGATGTTTCCGTTAATCAAAAAATGAAGAATATTTGATAATACTAATCACAGTTCCAGACATTCTAGAAAGAACGATTGATGATTTATATGAAAGATTGAGTTAAATAATGGAAATATGTGTCCCCGAATAATGTTTATTTGGGGATGATGAGTGGTGAAGAAGCCGTATACCCCTTAGACTTATCTTGATTCTTGACGTCTCACGTCTATTCAATATCAGTAATAATATAAACAGTCATGGTACGTATTCCCCCGGGACCTTCAAACTACTGTTTAACACTCTTTGTTTTCATGTGCTAGAAATAATGCACGGTCAAATGAGATGAGAACTAGTTTTGTGGACTTAACTAGGTCCGGATAACTCGCCCCATTTTCAGCAGAAGCTATGGTGGTTTAATTGGCCTTTTTTATTAGTATGCCCTATTAATGCTGTAAATTTTGAAGAAGCTATTTGATAAATTAATAACATTTAATTAAAAGATTAATTCGTGATATTGAGCCTCGCCCCAATTTTAATCTTGAATTAACTCGCCCGCCCTATTATTAATTGCAAAGCACTTCATCGAATCAACTTATTAATATAAGTTATTGAACTTGAGATGAAATTGCAGCATAATCTTAATTTCAAGCTGCTTTTCAGGAAATAATTGACATTTTTTGGCGTCTCATAACTTAAATTGACCGAGGCCTGCTAATTAAAAACATTCATTAAATCTGATAGGGTTGATTTTCTAATTAGTTAGATTAGTTATGTCAAGAATCTACTGAACAGTTATAGTAGCAGTAACCGTGTGTTATTACTAATTTACATTACACTGTAATAGAAGTGATCTCTGTTCTCGCATTGACGGCGACAATAGGTAATATTTAATGGCTTTTAATATTCCCCTACACATCTAGGTGACTAGTTGCCATATAGCGGCGCTACATTATAGCTACAACATAGCCACTAGCTATAATACAGCGCCGTGTAACTACCAGGGGGTTGTCAAATGTGGGTTAGAGTAGCAAGGACCAGCTCTAATACTGATTGAGTGTCACTCAAAATGCTGCCAGAGTGTGAAATATAGAAATATTGTCTGGTGCTGAGTGGATTATAAACCTCTTTGTTTTCAAGCTGAAAATACAGTCCTGACAGTGCGTGGTATTTAAAATCTAAGAGTATGGACCAATCACTTAAGTGAGGGATATTGCACTCCAAAGTGAGGGATATTGCACTCCAAAGTGAGGGATATTGCACTCCAAAGTGAGGGATATTTCACTCCAAAGTGAGGAATATTGCACTCCAAAGTGAATGATGCATTGCACTTTCCCAATTGTATCCACTAAACTTGAAGCCGCACAAATACATAATATCTCCTGATAATTGCAATGTTATCTACAGTTCTAGTAGACTACAAAAAGTACAGCCGAACTGTCAGAGGAATGTGCAGCATTCAAGGTGAAACCTCCTTTGTCGTCATGGGTATTTGTTTAACCTCAGTTAAACACATTTTTACGTGCAAGGCTAGCTATTGACGTAGGTCAAACTCTCAATATCCCTGAATAGACGGTTAAGTCGGGCCGTTAAAGAGTTTAAATGTGTAAGTTAACAGTTTGACCCGCTAGTTTGCGGAGTATGAAACCTCTAGAATATTTTAGAGTGTATGCTCTGACAGAGGTATGTTTTGCAAGGGTTGACACGCGCCATAAAATATAAACCATAAAGCTGCAAAACTGTAATCTAGATCGGTGAGTTTTTAATGGGTTTCAACACGTCACCAAGTGTGTAGTGGACTTTATTTAGGTTACTAGTCACTAGACAGAGGGACTTAAAAACTTGTCCTCAATTTCTCTGGTTAATAATTAGAAGGTTCACGGAACACGGAATATACCGTACATACTCTCTAAACGTACGTGTCATACACTGAACCAGCACATAATCATTACTAATAGAGTAATTGGGTAATAACCTTGACGTCGTGTGAACTGTCCCTCTTGTCCGTTTTAGAGGAAAATACTTTCCACTTTTCTAGATCGTGTGTTTTATTAGCATATTATGCAAGGTGAATATGCAGCTGATATGATATGTGTTGTACAGTGGTGAGTGGCTATTAGGGAGTGCAATTTGTGGATATGAAGTGTTGGTGAAGTGACGTCATTGAGTCGTTAGTGGACGGAGGAAACGCGTCGTTCTTGTCTGTGTGTCCTGTCTGTGTGGCTGTGTGTCTGTGTGTGGCGGGTAAGATGGTTTTGTAGTGTAATATCCTCTGAGAAAGTTCTTAGTATGGAGACATTTAGTACAATTATATTTGACAATACAAATCCAACAATGCTACCAATTATATTTGATACCTTACATTCTATTACATTCTCTGGAATGATCTAATAACAGTACTGCGCGATTATACCATTAAAATGTAAAAAAACAAAAGTCTAAAATACTTTTGGTAAAAAAATATGTCTGAAGCAAAAGTGAACCCATATTAACATGTCTGTAAAACCAAACATTCACAAAACTTCGGTTCATATTAGTAATTAGCCCCGTCTTTTGTATACCCGATATCTTGGAGAATTAGTGTAATCTGGCAGTGTGTCAAGGCCGCCTACCAGTACTTATTTTCCAATTACCGTACTAGTTCCACACAATTTACTCCTACCGTTCTGCAAACTTCTGATATCACGCACCAGACCGGGTGCTAAGAAGCGCATTTGTAGCAAGTGCTACTCTCGTTGACACTAAAGGAAATGATAACTGAAATAGATGAACACCGTGCAATTATTTTAATTTGTGGGCAGCAAAATTTATATTGTTGACATGATCAAAGGCCAATAAGAGTTATCGGTATTTTCTTATCATATCTGTGATAAACTCTTCCTTACCAAGGAAATCATTGACTTTACATAAGACGATCATCATGTTAAAAGGAATTTTACTGTTGATATGTGAAGTAGACCTAAACCTTAATTTACGCCGCATCGTGTGGAGATATTATGTGAGCATTGTCAAGAATATTCGGCAATCTTCACATTCTATCACCCTGTCTTAATTCTATCAGAATATTCAATGGCTACAAGTATCGATAATTGTAGGATTTCTTCTAGAATACATATTAGATTAAAGGTATTCTCCTTTGCTCAAGAATTTGAACATTGCTTTGCTTTAGCGGTTAGCTAATAGCTGTAATATAACAGTGTAATACTGCAACTTTCAGGCGCCGCTTCAATAAGTTATCAGGAAGCATTGTTGGTCCATTTGCGTGTCAACCTAAACCAAATTATTTCAAATTTGTCCGATCATTATAAAGTACAGTTAGATGTATATTTTCATGTTAAGATCGCAGTCGTATGCTGTCTTACCGTGCGGTATGAAACCGTCTTACTGTGCGGTACAATGCGGTATAACACTGTCTTACTGTGTACAACAAGCCGCGCTATTTAGAAGACTTACAAGCTCTCATTTGGGATTGACGTTGCATACACCTTACGTGTAACTAGAGGATGTATACGAGACAGCAATTAATACACGCGCCACTGATTGCTTACCGTCTGACAGTCAGATAGCTGTATCAGATAGCCCGCTTAGTTTACACTGCCTACTAGCTGGGGATATAACATAGTTTAAACTACTAGCTCGAGCGAGATGTAGTTGTAGAGATGTATTATGTGCTTATTGGGCAGTATTAGCTGTAGTTATGTAAAGGTACCACTATGTTTAATTGTAGTTACAAGTGTTTTGTATCTTTAAACCTGGCCTTGGTCAGGCCATCGTCTTGCAACGTGTATTCCTGGCAGTATAAAGTAAATATTAAGCTTCTAGATTAATACTTCAAAATAACAATATTATCTTAAACTATATAAAAACTATTTCAGAAACCCCTATCGCCATTGAGATCGAACATTTCATCCACATCGTGTCTGGAGTAGCTGTCTTCCTCGGAGTTTCCTTCTTCATTCCTCGCCTTCATCCTGGGATACGAACCTATTGAGGCTGTTGTCTTCCTTATCGGTATCATTGTCGCTAATGTGCCTGAGGGTCTCCTGGCTACTGTCACTGTGAGTACTTCTTTAAAAAATTACAATCTTCTCCATAATAATGATTTTATTAATTTAGTTATATTATATTCTGTGAAGGTGTATGTGAACAACATAATAAATTTAAAACAAGCCAGCCATGAATATTCATCGAATAGAATAGTGAATTATAAATATTAATCCCTCACGGTAAATAAAAATGTTCGCGAATAAATGTCGGTGATAGATCGGTCCAAGTTCTGTTTCAACATTTTAACCCCAAATATTTGCTCTATTTTAAGAATGAAACCACACGCTGAATATAATTATAAGAGTAAGTTGGTTACACACTCATGAATATTTAACTTCGCTATTTTACGGGTAGTTTCCCCACACTTACCACAAATATGCCCTCTGGGGCTCCCCCACACATTTCCCCGCACCATTCAAACATTCATCGTACCAAATTTGTTATGGAAGTGTGCTGTAGCTTGTAGACATGTCACGTACCTGTAAAAATAGAAACAAGGTATTGAAATAAGGTTGAAGTTTCATACTGTTATTCCCAGTCAATATCAAGGTTCTCAACAGTACTCAACTACTTTAAACCAGGAACCTAAAATAGAATTTTAAAAGGCAGTGTTAACAAGTTATGTTGCAGGTGTGCCTGACTCTGACTGCTAAACGTATGGCAAAGAAGAATTGTCTGGTAAAGAACTTGGAAGCTGTAGAGACTCTTGGATCTACCTCTACCATCTGCTCTGATAAAACCGGAACTCTTACCCAAAACAGAATGACAGTCGGTAAGTTCTTGCCACGTGTCATATTTTCAGGGGAGCGTTAAATCTTTTAGTGGGTCAGAGAGGGGTGTCAAGTGCAGATAAATTCAACGTTCCTCCGCTTATTATGCAGGTCCATGCACATGGGATTTTATGCCTCCACCGTGAGGCCATACGCGGTAAATGGACGTTTAAACTTAATGTAGCTGACTCCTTGAAACCACGTTGGTGACCAAAGTTTCCACTTCCTACATAAATACTGTAGTTCTGTGTAAGTAGTGAAATAGGTTGGAATGTGTAAACTGGTGTGAAACTACCCAGTCCCCTTCCTTCTCCCTCTGATCTCTCACACGTCAACATCAACAAGCAGCCACCACTGGATACATCAAGTGTTAAGTTTCAGCCTTCACGGCGGGAATTATTTCCTTTTCTTCCCTGGGGCGGCAATATTTACCCAGATCTCTAGAAAAAACAAATTTATAGAAAACAATGCGGTGAGCTGTGTGAACCACAGTTTTACGGACCACACACCAGTTGTCAGAACTCTCAGTCAGACTAACTTCCCACCTGACTACACCATAGTTAAATGTCACGTGACATTATTTATTGACATGCAACTTTTAATCCATTGTGCCGCTCTCTGTGTTGAAGAGCGCGGGAAAATTCTACACGAGCACACACTACACGCCACTCTCTCACCCATCTGATGTTTCTCCGGGGGGAGAGATAGAGTTAGCAAGTTAAAAATAACACTCAGTAAAACCTCTCGGACTGTCTCCATAGTTGTAGTTACAAAGTTGACAGCACCACAGGGGGGTGTTGTTGCAGCACTCACTAGTATCACCGTGTCACAATGTGACGCGAGTCAGCACCTCTAACAGCTAGTTTAAACATACCCACATTTGCACTGTGTCGATCTGGTTCAGTGTTATACTTCAGTGCTGAGATTGGAGAGTCTTTGCTATTTACCTTTTTAGGGTATTTCGAGACAAGTTTTCGTCATCGGAATGTACAATTCAACATTTTTGTGCAGTGGTTTAATGGCGAAGAATTGTATTTCTTTTCTGATGTTTCCCCACGAAATTCCAAAATGCCTGGGGAAGCCAATACAGGCAATGACCTCATCCATTTTAGCTTCATTCTCTATACTCCGGCGAGTGTACATTTTATGTGGATCTGAGCTATTTTTACAATACTGACATCTACAGAAACAGGTGATATAAATATAGCAATAAGATCTGGGAACTTTAAACAGGATATTTTACATGTTCCATTTAATTGGTAGCACATTATAAATCTAATGAGCCAGTTCTGATAGCTAAGCCTATCATGTGTAGATTAACTAATCTCTGATCTTATCATTAACTTACTTGAGAAACGAGAACTTTGTCTGGTCCGAAAGAACAAATACCGGGGAAAAACGGAATCTTATCGTCGAATATTCCGAACCAATTAATTTCCAATAAAAACGATCCCAATAACCACGCATGTTGGAATGTTAAATGAAGAGATAACACACAGTCGGCACCCTCACTTCCCTCTCGATTGCCCCCCCCCCCCCCCCTCAAGTCCTTCCTACACACCCGGCTTAATTGTGAGGTTCTCAAATTATCCTAATTACAAATTTTGTTATCACTTCAACTTCTTTAAAAGGGCCCTTATATTACCCCCTCTCTGTTAGCAAATCTAATAAACCAGATTATCCGACCCGATTGTTCCACTTTCTCAGCCCCTCATTGGTTGTCTCCCGTCACGTGGTCGAAACCGAGCCTCGTGATTGGTTACTCGCCGTCACGTGATCAGAATGCAGACCTGTGATTAGTCGGTTTTATTGTGGTGTTAAACGTGGCGTTGCAAGTAGGAAGATCGGGTTTCACCTCTGTTACCAGCCGTACACTAACTAAAGGGAGAGAGGGTCTGTGGACATTTTCTGTGGGAAGTCTGTCAAAGGGAGTGAAGTAGCCAATATTGTTGATAGTTTGGTAAATGGTAACTTTTAGTCTAAAATATTCCCACCGAACTTACGAAGATGGGGCTTACAAGGACCGTATAATAATGATCTGGAAGCCCGGGGTTCTTAGAACAGACTAATGTACTAAAACTGAAGAATACTCTACTCATAGTTCAAATTGGGGAGATGTGGTGAGTCTCAATGTAACTCAGACAATTTATGTAAGATGTATCCACTTGTCTAGAAACTCTAAATATATTATTTAAACTCGTGTACAGCTTTCTTTTTTTTTCTTGGTGAACTCCTCCGAACTCGTGGCCGGGGCAGCCAAGTTTGAAATAAGTTTTGAGCATGGCAACGAATGTGGACAAGGTAGACGAGAAAAAGATTTCGTGACATCGGTTGCATGCAACATTATTACAATAATTCTAAACTTGGCCACCTCCGACATCAGTGTGGACAGGATAGCAAAGAAAAATTAAGTGTTTTAGAAAACTTCAAACCTGAATTCAGCACTCTCGTAACCAACTTGTCTCACCAACATTTAATTTCATCAAGACTAGTAAACACTGACCAAATCTCCTGACCTGGCTAGATGGAGCGACTATTTTTCTAACTTTGTCGAGGAAATTGATAAAATTTAAATATCCTAATCTAGTCTGTGCCTTGTCAAAAAGGGACAGCTGAGCATTTTTCTGAGCATAATCCAACTTAGATGTAAATTATTAGATAAATAAATAATAGCTTCATGGTGAGTATGTAACATTTACAATGAGTTACTAAATTTCCTAAATGGCACAGTAAATGGTCTTGTTAAAATTTAACCGTATTTCCAGTATAGTACGAACATTTACTACAGGATAAACATGTTTCCTTTACCAACAACCTCTATATTGAATATCACAGAATTTAACATATAATTACATATTATAGGAACCTGGTCGTCGATCAAATCTGGGGCATCGCCATTTTCTACTTATTCGAGAAATTTTCTAAAATTGATGGCGAAAATGGTAATGACGCACAGAACAATCAAATGTCAAAAATTTAACTTTTGTCAAAGGAATAAAAGTTTTGAGTTGGTCAGTACGTACCGGAACGTCGGTTTAACCATTCCCTCCCCCGTGCGTCAGCTGTGAAAGACCTCGTGTCAACGTTGGCAATTTGTTAAAACCATTGTAAAACAAGCTCATTTGATTTTAACTTCCACAACCTGAATAATATCGACTTTGTATCAAGTTCACTGATCAACTTACTAAATGATTGTTAGATTGTCAACCAGTGATTGGTCAAGAGACTGTAAGTGTAAACCAGGCCAATGATGGGTCAGGAGACTGTAAACCAGGCCAGTGATTGGTCAGGAGACTGTAAACCAGGCCAGTGATTGGTCAAGAGACTGTAAACCAGGCCAGTGATTGGTCAAGAGACTGTAAACCAGGCCAGTGATTGGTCAAGAGACTGTAAACCAGGCCAGTAATTGGTCAAGAGACTGTAAACCAGGCCAGTAATTGGTCAAGAGACTGTAAACCAGGCCATTGATTGGTCAAGAGACTGTAAACCAGGCCAGTGATTGGTCAGGAGACTGTAAACCAGGCCAGTGATTGGTCAAGAGACTGTAAACCAGACCAGTGATTGGTCAAGAGACTGTAAACCAGGCCAGTGATTGGTCAAGAGACTGTAAACCAGGCCAGTGATTGGTCAAGAGACTGTAAACCAGGCCAGTGATTGGTCAAGAGACTGTTAACCAGGCCAGTGATTGGTCAAGAGACTGTGAACCAGGCCAGTGATTGGTCAAGAGACTGTAAACCAGGCCATTGATTGGTCAAGAGACTGTAAACCAGGCCATTGATTGGTCAAGAGACTGTAAACCAGGCCAGTGATTGGTCAAGAGACTGTAAACCAGGCCAGTGATTGGTCAAGAGACTGTAAACCAGGCCAGTGATTGGTCAAGAGACTGTAAACCAGGCCAGTGATTGGTCAAGAGACTGTAAACCAGGCCAGTGATTGGTCAAGAGACTGTAAACCAGGCCAGTGATTGGTCAAGAGACTGTAAACCAGGCCTGTGATTGGTCAGCTCACTCCCAGACTCTACCTGTTAGATAATGTATGTGCACTAAAATATCTCCCAGCGGTAGGAAATGCTAGAAATGCTGCATATTTTACGCAAATTTCTCCGTCAGCCGCCATTGGTCGGTGTCCGTCCTCTTCGCTCTTCTGATTGGCCCACCGCAGTCACATGACCTAAATACCACCCTGTGATTGATCAATGTGGGAGTGTAAGTTTATGTGTGAACCACGTGGCAGGGAGATGAGGTAGAAATTGCAATTAAGCGTGGTTGAAGCGAGCGGTGGGATGTGCGTCAAGCTGACAGCAGATAAGCCTGCTCTCTGTCTTATACTGCCATATTAACACCCAGCTTGGCTAATGAACAGGCCACGTGACTCAAACTGACCAAACAGAGAGCGCTCATCCTGTCACATGGTATCGTCACGCTAAAGAACTGCTGACCCGAAATTTCCCGGTCTTACGCTAAAATTGTTGGACAAATATTTGTTACGCGCTCATTGGACAAAGGCCGGTTTTGCGGTTCAATAATTATCATTATGTTTTGTGAAATAAGGTTGTGACGTGATGTGATTGTGACGTCACGTGATGAGATTATGACGTCACGTGATGAAGTTGTGACGTCACGACGTTTTTCTGCTACTAATTATCACCTCGATATGTTGTTCGACCAAAATTTATGTAAATATGTGCGACGTCTAGACTTATTGCACCATTAATGTGCGTATAACTTGACCAGCTTGGCTGTGTGTTGGATGGGATATGTAGATTTTAACGCCTCTAAAATGAGCAGGTCTCTAAAGCCTAAAGGAACCATTAAAACCATGAAAGTCTTATTTCACGTATTACTATTCGTATCATTCAAGCGTGAAAACATATCACTGCTATGACACTTTTCAGATTTATGGTAATACTGTAATATCATTAAGAGGTCCGAGGATACATAATCGCTCTAATATCAGTAAATGATACGACTTGCAGTGGCTGCGATGTGGAAATAGTTTTAAGAGTATTTGTCAAGCACTCCTGCAGAGTTGCACGCCTACTCTGCATGCAAATTTAAACCTCTACAGATCCCCTCAGACAATTGCGACTGAGCTACGTGCTGGGTGGACACTGTTTGAGTTAAAAAATCAAGTCACTGGACAAAATATCACTACTATTCAATATTCATCCACATTCATGTACCTTAGTCTAAGAATGTGTATTATGCTGTGTACTAAAATTTTAGTACACTTGTAATCGGTATTTAACCGACTAGTCGTATAGTTTGGGAACCTTTAAACGGTGCTCGGTTATTCCTAGCTAAATCAGTAAATTTGCAGTTACGGAAATACGGACAATTTTAGAAATCACGCTCTATGCATGAATTTCTTTGCCGATAAAAGGCTGATTACATAAATTTAAGGTAATTGTTATCTTGTTTTTAAATATTCAAACAATTAATGACCTCTAAATTAATGACCTGTACCATTTTCAGCTCACGTGTGGTACGATATGAAGATTCTTAAGGGAGACACTGTTCCTGGAAAGAAAGACAGAGAATTTGATATTGTAAGTAGAACACGTCACGTACAATTTCTTTAACGGGTGATACTCGTAAAATATCTGTTCCATATATTGGACCGTCGACGAGTCCAACTCGGCGCGCGTCCTGGTAGGTTGTAAACCTACAAACAATTTCTAAGTGAATAGTCACATTACGTTATATTATCTGTGCATGTCATAACTGAATTTAGATGATCACGTACGTTATGTACGTGTTGTGTTCTGCTGTCTACGAGTGGTCACTATTCATGAAAAACCGCTTATTAACCGTCCAATTAACTCTCAATTACCTCCCAGAATGAACCAACCTGCGCTGGCCTGATCAGGATTGCCTCTCTATGTAACAGAGCTATCTTCCTTTCTGGACAGGACGACAAGGATATCCTCATGAAGTAAGTTTTAAAACCTCCCGGGGCCGGGGGGGGGGGGGGGTTCATTTGAGAAACCGGGGGGAATTTTAGTATTAAACCATTGGGTGATTGAATTAATAGTCTGCATTTTTTTACCGTTCGAATAACGCCTCCGTTTTGGCTGTAATTTTAAGTTAAAACAGCCGCTGATAATCGCGTTATATAACGTCTCTGTTAAAATGTTCTTGTTTCGGAGCCAATATTATATATATATATAATAAGCTTATCACTAAAATTATCTTCCCTAAATATTCTGCATATAATTAAATGAGCTAATTAAGTAAATAAAGATTAAGTAAAGCACGATAGCCGTACCTTTACAATTACCTTTACAATCTTTTAAACACGGAGCAAGATTAGTGATTTACCAGACCAACTGCAATGATGAATAAAAACACTGCATTTATTACTTTTACAGAAATGTATTATAGTGGTTTGAGGTGGGGTAAAATAATAAGATTTATTGAGTCGCTTCTAATATAATATATGTGACGTGCGTGTATTTGTGTGTGACGTGTGTGTATTATGAACATTACTCCTGTCTTGAGTAATCAAGCATTGAGTGGTGGATGACTTAATTGTATACCGTGTGATTAGTTAACTGTTAACAGAGTGTGAGTTACTAACTATAATATTAAGTCATCCGGAACATAATATGTTACCTAATATTAAGCTTATTAAGGTTTATGGGATAGCTAAACTTTTAGATGAGTAGAGGAGTATGTAAAAGAAGAAGACACCATAATGACCATATAAAGTAACGTGTTACCTTACAATGTCATCTTACAAGGTAACTTTGTCAAGAACCGGTTTTAGAACTTCCAACGGATATCAGTAACTTCTTAGCTACATCTGAAATATCATACTTGAAACTTTTTAACTCATATATCATACGGGACCGTGCTGCCAATTGCAATAATAAAGCTGTTTTATCACATAAAATCAGTGAACTGTGGTTTATGAAACAGAAGGCACCTAAAATTCACATGACACTACGCACCGTACTCGATCCCTATCAATAATTCAATAGTGATATGGTTAGAACGTGTGTTAGGGTACACCGCTCGCGCTGGAAGGGATGGGGTCAATAAAGCGTATCTCCTTACAATTCAATCCAACTCTAATTTATTGGAGGGAAACTTCCACCCTAGATAATCTTATCATGTATCAAGGTGGGCATCTGGTTGCTTGGAACACTACGTTATTTCACCAGATGTTTCACTCAATGTCACCTGATGTTCCACCAAATTTCATTTCCACGAAACGTAATGAAAGTCAACTAGAAACTGAATAAATACCCTGTTCCACGTGCTATACGACTCTGGAAACATTTAAAAAAACTTTAAATTTAAAAGTTCGTTAGTACTCTGTCTGTTATTATAGTTTTCTAGTTCATGTTTTCGACCGTACTGATAACACAATTCTAAATGGAAAGCTCGAATAATGCTGAATTAAACAAAATATCGCATCAAACTGGTCCATTTCGCAAGTTCTTCAGTACAATCCTGGGCTTTGTCCTGGTTAAAGTAGCTCATAAAAATGTACATCTCCCTGTTTCTGTGAATATAACAAATATACATCTTTATATTTAATTGCTTCGATAGAGAACTTTATTTACCGCCCATTATTCAACTACTGAGTACCAGATTCCAGATTCAGTGATACGCGCGGTATATATTTTAGACGATTGAGCGCGCGCGAAGCAATCTTTGGTAATAGAAGCCAAATGTCGCTTACATTTTCTATGATTCGGATCGATTAAATTATATTATATTAAGTTTCATGCCGAAGATTCGTAAATTCGAAAACCGATCGGCAATTACGGTGGACTGATCTTATAAATTAGATATAGTGTAACTCATTCCTCATTTTCCCGTATTATACACGGCACACTTATCTGACTGTATCTCCATCAGGAATTGCCAGGGAGACGCGTCCGAGAGCGCTCTTCTAAAGGCTGTTGAGATTGCATGGAATGATGCAGGTACCAACACCAAAGATGTCCGAGAGAAACATAAGAAAGTGATCGAGATTCCTTTCAATTCTACCAACAAATATCAAGTAAGATCAGTAAAATGCTGACCACACACACACACACACAACAATTTGTTGCTTATTTTGCTCAGGCTGTGTTAATTCAAATTGTGATGTGTTGATTTTTCAAAGATATTTAATTATATTTCACCTGTAGGTGTCTGTGCACGAGATGCCCGCTGGTGGTGAACATGAAGATCAACATTTACTTGTAATGAAGGGAGCTCCTGAGAGAATCTTAGACAGATGTACCTCAATCCTTATTGACGGTGAAATTAAAGACATGCCTGCCGACAGGTCAGTTAAATTCGAGGACAGATTTCTGACTGATCAACTCAGTGAGATTTGTCTAAAATCATATCTACGTGATATTTTTGATAGTGTCTGAAGGTGTCTTAAAGTCAATAACTCGCATTGATTCGCCATCAAAGTTAATTACTGCACCCTCAATAACGAAGTTCTTCAATTGCAGCGAAGACCGAGCTAAATTCAACGCTGCATACATGGAACTTGGAGGAATGGGCGAACGTGTGCTTGGATTCTGCCACACTTACCTCGACGCGAAAGAGTACCCCAAAGGATATGCTTTCGACAACGAAAATAGTAATTGTTTTATTTTACAGTCCTCTTTTCTTCAAGAATTCTGACTAGAAGAAAGAGTTATAATGTATACGTTTATTTGACTCAGTAATGTATTTCATATGATTGAAAATCCCATTAACACTCTTTTATTTCAGTTAACTTCCCTCTGGAAGGACTCACATTTGTGGGGCTAATGGCTATGATTGATCCTCCACGTGCTAACGTCCCTGAAGCTGTTGCAAAGTGCAAATCTGCCGGTATCAAAGTTATCATGGTTACTGGTGATCATCCTATCACTGCCGCTGCTATTGCCAAGAACGTCGGTATCATCAGCCCCGAGTCCAAGACTGTTGATGATGTTGCTAAAGATATGGGTAAGCGTGCTTTAGCGATAGGAATGCCGAATGTTCTTTGTGTTAGTTTTTTAGAATTATGATTTTTTGTAACTAGATTTCTGCAAAGGAATTTTAAGTAAGGCTTAGTCAAGTGCATAACAAGCAACAGGAATGTCCTTAGGAATCCCAGTCGAAGAAGTTGATCCTAACCAAGTTAACGCTGCTGTGCTCCACGGCTCCAAACTGAAAGAAATGTCCGCCGAAGAGCTCGACAATCTTCTTGAAAATCATCAGTAAGTTCTTAACATTTTTCAGCTCCGCTGTTTTGTGAAGGCACGTGTATTTCCCATCACTTATTTATGTGCAATCGATCTTAGGGGTCGTTCACATATTACGTTATCAATTTTTGGACAATTTTTTCCCCCCCCCCCCCCCCCGGCCCCCCCCCCCCCCCCCCTCCGTAATCAGTTTTAGCTATTGTGTCAAAATTACACTAGCGTAATAATTTGGAAACCCATACGTAATATGAGAACGACCCCTTATTGCCCAAGTCTCAACCTTCATATAATATATAGGGAGTACGACATGTTAACTGCCTGGAGAAAAGTTTTAGATTATATTTATTTTCAATAGTTAACGGCTGTTGTTTCAGAGAGATTGTGTTCGCCCGAACCTCCCCACAACAGAAGCTGATCATCGTAGAGGCATTCCAGCGTGCAGGCCAGATTGTGGCTGTCACTGGAGATGGTGTTAATGATTCACCTGCTCTCAAGAAAGCTGATATTGGTATTGCTATGGGTATCGCCGGATCTGACGTCTCCAAAGAGGCCGCTGACATGATCTTGCTTGACGACAACTTCGCATCCATCGTCACTGGTGTCGAAGAGGGCCGTCTCATTTTCGATAACTTGAAGAAATCCATCGCTTACACTCTTACCTCGAACATTCCTGAAATATCTCCTTTCCTCTTCTTTATCGTGCTTTCAATTCCTCTTCCTCTAGGTAAGACTTTTTAGTCGATGAGTTTAGATAAGCTGTTTATTCCTGACATACAAATTAGAGAACTGAAAATAAATCTAAAATTTTACCTATCTACTTTTGAAGACTTATTTGAATCCTACCTCTATCCTAGGAACTGTCACTATCCTGTTCATTGATCTGGGAACTGATTTGTGGCCTGCTATATCTCTGGCTTACGAGAAGGCTGAATCTGACATCATGTTGAGGGCACCACGTGACCCTCTCCAGGACAGACTTGTCAACGAAAGGTACATTTTGTTTGCAAAGTTGTCGATGAAGAGATTGGGATTCATTCCTCTGTCATGTCGTAAGGGCTGATATGTTCATTTTATCTCAATAGTCTTAAAATTCAGATATTTTTAAGTCTTTACCTTATCGTCCCTATCCAGGCTGATCTCTGTATCCTATGGTCAAATCGGTATGATCCAAGCTTCAGCTGGGTTCTTCGTCTACTTCGTCATCATGGCTGAGAACGGATTTAGACCATCTAAACTGTTGGGTATCCGTAAAGATTGGGACAATATCCATTACGAATCTGTAGAAGATTCTTACGGTCAAGAATGGGTGAGTTGATAATTAAACTGTCCAGGCTGATTACCTTGCTAGTCGTTGAATTGTCAAGTTTTCGAAGTGCATTATTTTAAGTGGGTTTAACCAGCAATCAAAACTAGAAGGATCCATTGTTTTCATTGTTTTAATTAGACTATCGAAATCTCCAAGTTTTGCACTTGGAGATTTCGATAGTCTACAACAGAAGATATAGCTTATAATTCCTCCCATTCCTCAGTCGTACGCAGACAGGAAGATTCTAGAGTACACCTGTCATTCTGCCTTCTTCGTCAGTATCGTTATCGTACAGTGGGCTGATGTCATCATCTGTAAAACGAGAAAGCTCTCCGTATTCACTCAGGGTACGTGTCCTCATTTTATGTGTTTTTATGTTTTAAACCATCTTGGATTGAAATTAATGAAAGGTCGGGATACTGTCTTCATCAGATCTGTTGAAAAACAGGCGTTAAAAGGGCGAATCCCTTTACTAATACTATACTTTCATAACATACGGTCGCACATTTCCGCACAAATTAACTGGTTTTTAATTGCAGGAATGAACAACTGGGTGCTGAACACGGGAATAATATTCGAGACCTTATTGGCCGCCTTCATGTGCTACACTCCTGGTCTTGATAAAGCTCTTAGAGTATATCCTCTCCTGTTCTGGTGGTGGCTTCCTGCCCTGCCCTTCTCCCTGACTATCTGGTTATACGATGAGGGGAGACGTTGGCTGTTAAGGAAATACCCCGGAGGTAAGTCCATACTGAAAAACTTTCCCCATCACTGCTACTTTTCACTATCATTATATCACTATGATAGTGAATAAAAATATCCAATCCTGGATATTTTTATTCGTTGATGTCCAATCCAAGATCGATTAATCAGATAACTTGACGCAATTTTATATTTCAGGTTGGGTCGAAAAGGAAACCTACTACTAATCGACGACGCTCGTAGAATTGAAATTATAATTCTAGCTGAAAAAGAAACCCTGAACGCTACACCGAGTTTTACGTTCACGATTCTATTTAACAGCAAAAATTTTAAAAATTGTAATTACCAAAACTTACAATCACTACTATCCACAAATTAATTTCAATAGACTGCAATGGATCCGAACAGTTAATGATCTAAATTTTTTCCGGAAATGTATCATACATATTTTTTATTATTGAAACGACAGTCCGTTAGTAAGTTGAAAAAAGAAGGGTCAGTTTCCAAATATGGCGTCGAGTCCTCCTAAATGTTCACGTGCTGTTTTCAAGCGGGGTGATGCTATTAAACTTAGTGCTTAGTTTTAGGCATAGGAGATTTATATTTAATTGTGGCGCAGTGTTATGAATTTGCTTTTGATAAATGTAAAGACTAACTTTCCTAACGTATACGGTTCAAGAACGGTCGGTTAGTGGTAAGGGTTCGGTATTAACTCATCTGATTACAATAGGCAGGATGGTCTTAATCTAAAAACTTACAATGATAAATCAACGGAAATTAATATAAAATTAACATCATACTTGACGATTTACTTCGCTATTCTCGTTAATCTTTACAATATTTCTTTATTTTTCTACTAATTTATTATCGGTAGCTCGTACTATTAAATAAGTTGTTACTGCTAGCAGGAGGGCGGTGTGTCTAATCTACCGTGCACCGCTTCCCCGCCGGCCACAACAGCTGTTTGCTGTTCGAGGATTTGTCTTTGATTGCGATTTCAGTTTGTTAATTTTGTTTCCCATTTGAGATTGTCGCGAGATAGATTTGCAAGGAGTTACCACTAGGAGTTATCTGCCAGGGCCACGCCAAGTATTACAATATATAACGTGATATTATATTGCTATTATATTCAGTAAAAATTGGTGTTTTATTGCTTTCCTTCCGACTGAAACAATTATGGATGAAACCGTTAAAACACAAGTACATCAAATATGAATTATAGTGAGCGTGCTAAATCACTACAAGCTCAAATTTCATAATCTTTCTATTAAACAATTGGAACCAACTTGAATTGATGTATTTTTGGACGCCGATTGCTAATCACCGACACTGACAGTATATAATAGTTTAAATGCTCGTCTGGCAGGTTATTGACGAGAAACTTTTTGATCACGTGACCATAAGGAAGTTCGTTTAAAATTTAATTTCTCATTTGGTCCGGGTTTCGCATAAAGCCCTAATTAAGGTCACATGGTTTTAAATAGTCGAGTGTAGAGTAACTACTTGATAGTCGGATCAAGCTAAATGTTATTGAATTGTGTTTGGCCATTCGAATTACGTTTGTCCTGAAAGAATTAGAACTGTAGCTTCTCAGATGACCGAGATATGAAGCATAACGAGTTTATTCATTACGTGTGATCAGGTGATTGGTTTACCTAATCACGTGACAAGGTGACCCCGTTAAACATTATGGGAATTGTTAAGGGTGCCCAATTAAGGTGTCGTGTCACGGTGTCACATAATGCATAATCACCCAGTCAATTTTGTTAACGAGATACACAAAATGCTTGATAACTTCGTCATTTCTAATCCGTTTTGCCTCATGTTTTCAGATCATATGCAACATTTGATAATCTACCGTCTCTGAAAAAATTAGGCTTTCAGCATGTTCAGAGAAAACAATATAGGTGTTTTAATCTTGAATGGGCGTGGTCTAAAATATTCGAATTTTCAAATTTTGACGACGGAATCCTCGAACCAGTAAGTACAGTATGCCATCTGCAAAGCAACAGCTCTCAAATATAAAACACGGCGGAGGTATAAGACCCAACGTTTGCACACTGACTTTTGGCCCACCCTGTATAACTAATAGTAACTCTACACTCGACTAATTCTATAACCGTCATCTGTGTATTAGAATATTATTATTAGATTTTGATCGAATCTGAGATTAATATGTGATATGATTATGACCGCCAAAAAATCGTAGTTCAAACCGACGTACGTATTACAATAACATGCCGTTGGTCATGATCCATACCATACCATAACAATAATCAATATACGGCTCTGCCATAATCCTAGTTGGGTCTCGGTAAAACCTTGTCTCACGTTGTGGGCCCACCACGCACGAGTGCTCGGCCATATCGTGCATCGTGGCTTTCGCCACTATTATGTATCAAGACTCAGGTGCTGAATTGAAATAACAATGAAGATCTTATTGCGTATGTCATATTAATTGCATATGTACTGAGACAAGTAAAAAACATAAAACCGGCCTATTTTTTTCGTTTTCAAAATTTGCATTTTGGGGACCCCAGGCTAATAATACTAATAGTAATAGTTTGATACATCAACATGTTACGTATCGCGCACGAAAAGTGGCCGTATGCAAATTGCAACGTCAAACGTATGTCAAGTAATAGTAATAATTGTTCATAAAAATAAAATAAAGATTCGGCGGAATGATGCTGGTTGTAGATTTATAACTTGGAGGACTTCGACGCTTCGCAGAGCAACGATCTGGAAGAGTTGATTGACGATGTCAACCCATCGAGATCGTTGCTCTGCGAGGCAGAGCAACGATCGACGATGATTGATTGACGGCGCTTCTCGAAGCGTTGACCATTGTTAATGATCTGGCCCGGCGCGCGCTACTTCGTAGCACTTGCCATCGGGCCATTTCGAGAAGAAAGCGGCGCGCGCTACTTCGAAGAAATTTAGACGAGTAACATCCGTCAACTCGAAGCGGCGAAGTCCTCCAATGGAAGGGTTGACAACGTTAATCAAGTTTATAACCTACCAGGACGCGCCGAGTTGAAACAAATATTTTACTTACTGGGCGGCACTCAGCCTGTCATTCCGCCGAATCTTTTTATGTTTATAAACATAATAGCCTGGGGTCCCCAGGTAAATATTTTACAAGTATCACCCGTTAATGATGCTGGCTGAGCTGTGAGTGCCGCCGGCCATGCAATGATATGAGACCATGCAAACTAAGATTTTTAAAAACTTTTAATACAATGATTGAAACACTTTTTAGTGTCCCACATTCACAATTCTTACTTACTTGAAAAGGTACTTACTTGAAAAGGTCTCCTCCTAGTCGTTGGAGTGGCCTGCACCACAAAGTAACTCCTTTCTCCGGTGTATTAGACCTCTCCAGTGAACCCTGTCTGTAGCTTGTTGTTCTGCATCTTCTATCGTGATGTTATCGACACCTGTGAAGATTGCTGCATCCTCCCGGACACATGACAACCAGTTTTTCCGAGGTCTACCTCTTGACCTTTTACCATGCTTTGGGATCCAGTGCAGAAGATAGTTGGGTATTCTTTCTTCTGGCATCCTCACCACATGGCCAAACCATCGGAGTCTAGCTGCTCGTACGAAAGTATCAACAGGGGCGATGTTAGCCCGCTTAAGTACATCAGCATTAGATACATGATAAAACCATTTTATTTTCAGGATTCTCCTGAGACATCTATGATGGAACACCTCAAATCTTTTCATCTGCGTCTGTGTGGTATTCCATACCTCACTTCCATAAAGCAGTATAGTGAGAACAGCCGATTTGTAAATCCTGATTTTCGTTGGAGTCTTGATGTTGCGACTGTACCATATACTGCTGAGCTGATAGAATGCCCCAGAGGCCTTTTGAATTCGAGCTGAAAGTTCTTTGTCAATTGTTCCATTCGCACTGATGTTGTCTTGAAGTTGTCCCACATTGATTCCAGGTCAACCTCAGGTTCCAAACAGTCAAATTTGTTTCTCAGAACAATATTGTATTCGGAAACAAGTGAATGATCACGCAGATGCTCAATAGCAGGAATCTCAAGCTTACGTTCCTGCTTCTTTTTCACTGACATAAGCTTCATTCTCAGTCGTGCTCTTACCAAATAGTGATCAGACCCAATGTCAGCCCCCCTACAAACTTTTACATTTAGCAAGGAGCCTCCAAACTTTTTACTGATACAGATGTGGTCTATTTGGTTTACAGTACGACCATCAGGTGATCTCCACGTACCTTTATGTATATCCTTTTGCTGAAACATAGTGCCCCCGATGGTAAGTTGGTGGGCAATACAAAAGTCCAACAATCGGGTACCATTGTCATTTGATGAGCTGTGAAGCGAGTGTCCACCAATGACACCTGACATAGAACTGCAGTCCGATGTGACCTTAGCATTAAGATCACCGAGCAGTAATTTTATTACTGGGCCGCGCTCAGCCTGTCATTCCGCCTAATCTCTATTCGGTTGTTTACCAACATTAAAGCCTGGGGTCCTCAGGTAATAATTTTAAATCATGTCGGGGTAGCTCATCGAATGCACTTGACAACTGCTGGTAGGATTCATCCTTATCATTATCTGAAGCCCCCTCAGTTGGCGCATATGCCACAACAACAGAGATGTTCAGGTATTGACTATGCAGCCTTGCACTCAACAAACGGTCAGATATTGGTAGATAGGAAATTAATGAATTTTTAGTCCTCTTTGAAAGGGTAAGACCGACACCTCGCCTTCTTATACCGTCCGTCCTCCCTGAATAAATAAGTAAGGAGCCATTATCCAGTAGCTCTGATCCTGTACCAGGCATATGGGTCTCAGTTATACCCAGCAAGTCCAACTTATACTCAGAGATATTCTCTGATAGCTGGAACAACTGACTTGAACTACTTGTCAGAGATAATACATTCCATGTCCCAAATGTAAGACCTGTTTTAGAATAATTCGCTGGCTGTTTCTTATTAGAGTCGGAGTCCACATGGGTGATCTGTGGAGAAATAAATCTGCTACAATGACGTGTTCTCCCAACACTCATCTGGCCACGGGGGTCCCTTAGGCTTTGCCCCGCCACCTTCATACTGGTATCATCCGTCCTTGCAGAGGGAGCCACACACCGTTTCTTGTTGTTACTTTGTGATGTTTCTGCAGCAAATGTTTAGAGAGGAAAAGTTGCCAGCATCTCGCACCCGGTTTTTTATCGACCTTTGCCTGTCTAGATCCATAGTGTTTTGTTGCACAATTCACGTTATATAATAACTGGCAATACTCTAATTACTCTTTGTTATAATATGTTGTATGGCCCACCACGCACGAGCTATATAGCCTACGCGCGTTTAAAAGAATTTGCCACACACCAATGAATTTGCCACACACCAATGAAGTCAAATTTCAATTTTAAAATATCAAAAGAAAATATTGGAGGACTTCGCCGCTTCGACGCGCCGCGCAAACTAGCATTCTTGCTTCGCATCGTCGATCGTTTCTTTGCTTCGCAGAGCAACGATCTCGATGGGTTGACATCGTCAACCAAAAGAAAATAGAGAATTTCAGGAAAGGCCATGGATGGGGTCGTAAAAACGCGATCTTCACCTCCAAAATCGACTTTTAAAACTTCATACATTTTTTGTATCACGTCTGACGTCATGACCCCCACGGTCGTTTTACTATGGTGAACTTTAACGTTCTTACGATACAGGGGAGCCGTGCAGCGGCGGGTCATACAACGTATGACAAACATGTTCCGTCAAAATAAGTGTTAAATTATAATTAAAACATCCCCCAACCTCCCAGCACCCCCCACATGCACTTAACTTCCCCCTCTTCATTTTGCTTTCTTCTTCTGCAACTGAACTACGAACTCTCGGCTCTCTCGCCCAGAAAACCTTACCACCTGCCGGGCTCGCTAGAGATGATCGATTTTTAAAAGCGCGTTTGTCCTCGCGCGTCATATCAAGTCCATCTTTTCTTTCGCACGCTGCATTTAGCCTAGTAGTCATGACAACCACATTACTTTGCAAAGTTAAAAAGCTGCGATATTTTATTTACAATTTAGCCCAAAATCAAACTTTTCGGTTTAATTCAAAATCTAAGTTGTCCCGAATTTCGCTCCTGGGGAGCTAACTTCAAATTTACGAGACTGAAGACGTTGATTCACAATGTCAATCCTTCCCAGCTCGGCGAGGCCTAGTGGTGTATCTCGCCGATCTACGGAGAAGATGCGCGGCGCGGCCCAGTAGTGCATCGCGCTACAACTGAAGGTTCTATTTATTTTACTTTTGTAGATAGACCCCAGTTGTCATACGTTGTATGACCCGCCGCGCACGAGTGCGCGGCTCCCCTGTATCGTAGAAACTCTACACCATAGTTGATATATGATATAGTGAAACTTAACGGGTGATACTCGTAAAATATCTGTACCGTCGACAAGTCCAACTCGGCGCGCGTCCTGGTAGATTGTAAACATACAAAGTGAAACGACCGTGGGGGTCACGACGTGATACAAAACCCCAGCCGGTAGGGTTTGCTGGAAACCATTTCAGATCGTTGCTTTGCGAAGCAAGAATGCTAGTTTGCGCGGCGTGTCGAAGTCCTCCAAGGAACATTCTTTTATGTTTCATGTATCATTTAGTGGTCAATGGTGTACATGTAGCCTGACGTTTTAATCAATTATCTTGACATAGCAAAATGCAATATTTGATATTCTAATATCTAAGTTAAGCAAATATCTTATACAAAATTTTTAGAATTTCTTCTCATATGAGTTATACATTTTATGATATGACGCGCATGGCACTGTTTCACCTTATATTAATTAATACCTTATATTAATTGACGTCTGACGATGTCAATTCACGGCAGCTCGGCGAGGCCCAGTCTAGTAGCGCATCTCGTTGATTCACGATGTCAATCCTTCGCAGCTCTGAGCTCGGTGAGGCCCAGTAGTGCATCGCGCTACAACGCATCTCACTACATTGTTTTACCTGAATCTTTTCAAGCTTCCTGAACAGGAAACTATACAATATACGTGAGTGGTGAGAGAAGTAAAGTGAGCAATAGACTAGCAAGCTAGGTAAGGCACCGTTATGTGTTTTCTCTGCTGTGGTGTATCAGTGTTTGGTGAATTAGTATTTAGGCCTAGGGATAATAACAAATTTAACAAAATGGTCTAAATGGCTCGGGTTGGTTTTGCTTGTCATACGTTGTATGACCCGCCGCGCACGAAGTGCGCGGCTCCCCCTGTAGCGTCACTATAGTGAAGCGACCGTGGGGGTCACCGCGTGATACAAGGTTTTGCATTCTGAATAATTAATTCTGAATTTGGAGGACTTCGCCGTTTCGACGCGAACTAGCACTTTTGCTTCGCATCGTCGATCGTTGCTTTGCTTTGCAGAGCAACGATCTCGATGGGTTGACATCGTCAATCAAATTCTTAATATAGGGGTTTATTTAGCCTGTCATATATATTATCTTTACAATTACACTGTACACGCGCATTACTGGAAAGTCGCAGTTTATATCTCCGCCAAAAGCAAATCTTTAACATTTAAGCACTCACGCGCATCGATTTAAATTTGGTTTTTAATATATCGCATTGGATCGTTGCGCAATTATTGATTGACGATGTCAATCCGTCGAGATCGTTGCTCTGCATTCTTGCTTCGATGCGAAGCAAGAATGCTAGTTTGCGCGGCGCGTCGAAGTTGGAAGTCCTCCAACGCAATTAGTACTCAAGTAGGGAAAATTGATCGTGCGTGGTTTAACCGCGGCGAAATTCTTGTTACAATACCAAATTTGTCATACCTTTTTGGAATGATCAGTGAGTTTCGCCTGGGTTGTGGGTCCATATTTAATGGTGCGCGGCTTTTGGAGCAAAATTAGGTGTAAAAGTCGCGTAATTTGACGAAATACGTTGATTTTTGTCGTATTATTCTGTCATATCTTCGGTTCTTGAACATGAATCATGCTGAAAATTTGTCAGAACCTTCAATTATACTTAACTACCGAACTTAAATTAGTTGGGAGAGATTGGCCTTGATTAACAATTAAGATGTCTAACAAGAAATGCTGCCGCTTTTCTTTTGTGGATGGCCGCTCAATTTCCCGATCCGTGATGGCGTCGCGTATTTATCATATTCCATACAACCTGGGGACGGCCCAGTCTTTTCTGTTCATATAAACATGCAAATATGGCGAAGTGACATGCCGACTGCCGCCCAGTTAATATAATTCTATATTGAATTTGAAAATCGTGTATACTTCTATACTATGTAACCATATGTTTATTGTTTATGCAACCTGACACGGATCTGTGCAAAATAGTAATACTAACTCAAAATAATAATAATATTCAATTAGTGCCTAGTGGGATCATACGTACATGATAAAATTAATAATGTACTTGCAACTTGGTTGGTTCAGCGCCGCGCGCCAACAATTATATAATTCAGATTATCACGCAAAATAACTTTGCGCAGGTAGTCACGTGGGCGATAACAGTGCTCGCAGGCAGGTACGCGACGGTGGAAAATATCTGGATTTTATTCTTGCATAAAAGCGATAATGCAATTATCGCGTGTTTATCGCCCAATATGCGATTATCGCGTGTTTATCGCCTAACATGCGATTATTGCGCACGATTATCGCCTAACATTGGCGATTATCGCTAAATGCACGATAATCGCCATTAAATAGTGATAATCGCTAAAATCTGCGATGATAATGCAATAGTGAAATGATGAGTTAATTTTGACATACTGTGAGTCATATACTGCATCAACATTCAACACTGCACTGAATCAAAATTATGGTTGAACAGCAATAAAAAATATTATATTTGATATATATATTAAACCTTGTGCCTGACGCCGCGCGCAGCGGATCCTGCATTTTCATTTTGAGTTTGACCCTGGCCTCACAATTACATTTTACAATCAAACTATAACCTTCAAAGGCGAAAGTAAACACAAGCATCAACATTTCATATTTCCAATTTCATTCCTCTTCCCCCTGTTTAACGGACGCAAACGCTATTTACGAAATGACCCCTGGGCCCCTACGACAAACCCGAAACCATAAACATAAACTTCTATTCAATTTGTAATTCGAAAATTATCTCATAATTCCGTTATGGAAATAAATCTTATACATGAATAAGAATCTGAATCAATACATATTGTTCATTCTGTCTGCCGATGGCAATTATATCAATATTATATTCAAATAGTACACGGAGTTCATTACTGCATTTCAAGTTTGACACGCGCGGTGAGCCGCGCACTTTTGTTGGATTTGAACTATACGAAAATCAAATTAAAAAATCGAACACCGCTCATGCTGTTCCTGATATGTGGCAAATAGAACTAGGTACTAGAATTATTTGACTGATTGTCATGACTCTTGATACTTCCTTTAGAACATCAAAGTCGGGACTTTTCTGTGGACAGAGTACGGTAAACTGTGCGAGGAGATAGACTTTGTACTCGCTTGCAATGTGGCAGACGGGTTTCTTCCCAACAGCTACAGCAGTACGACAGACTTTGGAGCCATGATTCTGCGCATCGAACAAGGTAATGTAGATTCATCGATGAATGTATCACTTCATTATTGAAAAATTGGAGGCTTTGCAAACTGATATATAATGAGTTGAAGAAAATAAGTGTGGCACTGTACATTTTAGGTAACCGTGTGGCCTCGAAGTGCAACAGTGGGCCCCTTTCCTCGAAGTATGAGCAATATTTGAGGGGCATCAATGTCACTCCTGAGGCATACCATGGTGTGTCCCTGACCGGCGTGAGAGCAGGATATTTGGTTAAAGCCAATCACACTCAATTTTGGACAGACCACTTCTATAAAAACGAGTAAGTTCTGTGAGATCAGTGCGATTTAACTCATGTTACTAATGGTTGTCGTTTATAGTGAAATAACTACCACTTTTTACTTGTGATTGAAGGCTAAAATTCTGTATTGATAACGAGCTTCTGTGACTGACCGATTCTGTGTTGACAGGAAGATAAGACCACAGGACAAGCTGCACTTTCAGCAACGGCTCCTTGCACTGGATCGCATTAAGTCCTCGTATAGAGATCTCTTAGTTCTCGGTGGCAAAAGTGGGAAAGTGAAGAGTCCCCGTGAGATCGAAACTCTTGTCAAGGCCAGGGACCTCTTCTTGGCAGAGTACCGAAAGTTTGGTCAGTCCACATCGGTGAAGGTATTGTTGTTATCTCTTATAGCTTTACCTGTTGTCTCCAACCCCTAAATAGCCTGGAAGAAAGTTATTTTCATGACATATTTATAAGAAACTCCGGCCCAACCGAACTCTTAAAATTGCAACATCATTTCAACACCACCTCCACCAGATACATCTCCTTGAAGACCACTTTTTGGAGCAGATACAGCTCTGGGGGATGTTTTCTGGATCTTTCAATGAGCAAGGTGGTGAGAGTACTCACTCCCTTTTTAAGAATCACGAACACATGACAAGTAAGAAATAACTTGGGCTTTTAGAATTAATTGAGTTTGAGATCAAATTTTGATTTCCACACGTTGAATAGTAGTGTGTAAGGGGTCGTTCATATATTACTTAACCATCGAAGGCGAGGGGGAGTACATAATATGTGGACGACCACCACTTTAATACAGAAATGTAAGCAACATAAATTTTCAGACCATGTTCGTAATGACGAAGACCGAGTTGTGAAAAAGTGCGAGCTAGCAACACGGAAATACCTGTTGAAAGTGAAATCCAAGCTGTGTGACTGAAATGGGTCAATCATGATGGATTTAGTGTTTGGGACAATCTGCTATATGCCTAAAATTGAAAGATTGTTAATTTGGTGATGCTTCACCCTCTGTTCATATTTTCTACTTGATCAATAATGATATTCGCCACATATTATGTAAAACGCCGCTTATGTTTTGCCATTAAAATTTTTTCGTTATAGTAGTGACTGCGACTGAAACCGCGCATCACGCAAGTTTTTGTCGCCGCGCGAGGGTGATTCAATTTTGTACACTTCGCCATAATTCTCAGAGGATGTAATTTGACGAGTGCGGGACAATTTTGAGCGCAAGGAATCACTTGAATCGAAGATAACGATTGAGCTGACAATTTCTCCGGTAAAAATTAGACCTTAGATAACTGAATTGGGATGACATCGGAAATAACTCTGATGCGAGCAGGAATACACTATGTCATACTCATAGCAGTAATACTTAGACGTGAATATTAATATCCGATGGATCAAATTAGTGTATATGTTATCATTATTATATATATAAAGTGTGCCTCACTGGGGCACCCTTAAGTCACAGTTCCAGCTCGATAGGCCTCGTAACCGGGATGGATAGAGACAAACGAAATACATCATCTCGTCACAAGCAATCAGATCTAAGTTAAACGATAAGGCCAGGACATACTATGAGCATTGAATTAACTGTCAAAATGGTAACCTGAGCCCTAGAGGTGATCACATGCTATAAGCCTAACGGAAAAGTATTCTAAAAATATAAATCTAATCGTTAAGTTAAACACATTTGAAAGCGGCTGTCAGATAATATAAACGGTTCGGGATGATGGCTGTCGAGGTTCGGGCATGACGCGCCCGGCCGCACAATAAGCGGTGACTAGGGAAGTCACAACAAAAAGTCCCCTCTCAGTCTAATCTGAGCTCTCGATATTTTGGAAGAATTCTGGATTCTAGCTAGAAATAGGTAAATTAGTCAACGAACATGAGATGAATCATATATTAACTTAAAGATGAAAACCCGCTAATCAACGTTGACCAAAATTAAATTATGTGGGCTTACAATTGAATCATATAGAGTAACTATTTGATCATTTGACGTAGCCATTTTGTCAACGCAGCATTTTGTCAATTTGTCAACTCTAAATATTCGACTGCTGTTAATCTTTTAACTTTAATTATAAACTTATGTTACCACTGAAAATCTGAAATGGCTCCAGTAGATCTGTAGATGTGGCAGCTAGGTTCTCGTTATATACTGCGATAATCGCAAATTGAGGCGACAATCGCACGATAATCGCATAATGAGGCGATTATCGCACAAGGGGGGGCGATAATCGCAAAATGAGGCGATAACCGCGCGATAATCGCAAAATGAGGCGATAATCGCACAAGGAGTCGATTATCGCGCGATAATCGCGAGGGAGTGCGATTATCGCTGCAAAAATAAAATCTGCGAAATGGCCAACATTTTCCACTGTGTACGGTCGCACGCACACTCGCAAAGCTACCATATAAAAAAAACCTCGATCGCTAACCCTTGTCCTTGACTCTTTTGTGCCTTCGGCACTTTTGAGTCATGGATCGGGAAAAAATAGGTATAAATTCGTTGATAAATCAAATTTTGACCATCGAAATTGCTCAAACTAATTTAGGTTCAGTAGAACATAAGTGTTTACGTAAGCTGACCAAATTTCAACAAAATTGTTATATGGGAAGTATTATAACTTTTTGATTGTTTCCGAAATAATGTACTGGCCGAAATAAGAGCTAAAAAACCATTCAATGGTGAGCGCGCGCGTCTTACGGTCGATGGCGCACGGCCTATTGTAACATATTAACCCTTACCATCATGTTCGTTCAAAAGCCTAAGACAATCATTATACTTTCATAATAGAATCATTATACTTTCATCATTATTTTTTCACAATAACCATATGAGTAGACTACGGTCAATTTGGGTATGTTACTAATTACTACACACAGTCCAAGCAGTTAACAATTGAAACAGTGATAATCACGAAGTCCTATTAAAGTATTACATAGTTATATTTCAACTTAACTGATTATAAAATATAAATACAGATTAAAGCTACAAAAAGCCAAATGTAGAGATCACCAGATGCAGATTGTGGTGGTTCTTAATTTTAGTGTTCAAATGATATTCAGTACCACATCTTTAATCTTTAAATCTTTCACAAGGGAGCGTTCACATATGAAGTCAGCAGCCGAGGGAGGGGGGGGGGGGGGGGGGTTCTGAGCATTGCTGACGTCAGCAAAAATACGCGAATTTTGGCAAAAATTGTTGTTTCAAATCAATTTGATTAAAAATAAAACTTCGCTAATTTCCTTACTATTAGTACTTGACCTGTTGTCAAACTGCTTAAATCAGTCACACACTAATTTCCCTGCCTGCATCCCGCTCACTGTCAGCATTTCTATACCCCTAGCTGACTGACAGGATACTGTATGTATTAAGTAAGGGGGTTAAATGTAAAGAAGGCAGGCAGGGGGGAGGGGGGGGGGTAAATTGGCCAAAATCTTGCTGACGTCATATGCAACGCTTTAGAAATTGAAACCTGTCATTACATTATATCATCTTACTATATATAAAGCGAGACGATATATATATGTATATATATATATTTATTTATCCGCACCATTTTACTGACACCACGGCATCAACTTTAACACGGGTTTCCGCAAAAACCGTACAAGATATAAAACTGAAACTTTTTTAACTGATTCAAATGCTTTAATGGCCTTCAAATCAGCATGAAAAAAATCGAAAATCGGCCAAGGAATAAGAATTTTAGTACCCAAAATTTGGACCCCCAAGTGGTGTCAAAAACGCGAATTAAATAAGTAATAATTATTTTTACTGGGAGACTTTAGGGTAGGAAACTGATCCGGCCACCAAAGAGCCTTGACACCAGTCTTTAAGGTTTGACGGGTTCCTGCTAGTATAATTAAAGGATGGAATAATAATGGGAGTCTTGTCATTTGACACAGTCTACAGACCACCTGACTACCCGGTGGCTTCGTTCAGATATATATTAGAGCAGATTCAATTATTCATTGTTAGTTAGTGACCCTGACAGCGAGAAGAAAAAATACACAACCAGCAATATAAAATCGCCCTCAGAAAAGTTAACATCATTCAACTTTAGTAAAGAGGACCTCATCACAGCTATTGATGAAATTGATGCTGACTCAGCAACATCTGATGGGGACAGTCCAGCGAGGATACTGAAAGCTTGCAAACAACCGCTTTCAGAAGCCCTGATGATCATTTGGGAGAACTCCTTCAGAAATAGTCAAGTTCCTTCAGTCTATAAGGAACAATATATCATGCCAGTGTTTAAAAAGGAAACAAAACAGACCCGGGAAATTATAGACCTATCTCGTTAACTTCCCGGATACGATAAAAGTGTTTGAGAGGGTACTAAGAAAGAACATGGTAGAGCACTTGGAATCGAATCACATATTTTCTAAGAAACAACACGGTTTCCGGAAAGGTAGAAGCTGTCTTACACAGTTATTACAACACATGGATTACATCCTAAACAACTACCTAGACTGAGACAGCTCCGAAACAGACGTGATATACCTTGATTACGCTAAAGCCTTCGACAAGGTAGATCATTCCCTACTTCTCAAAAAGGTTAGTCGTATGGAATACAAGGTAATCTGTACAAATGGATTGAACAATTCCTCCTTGATAGGACTCAAATGGTCATTGTTAATGGAAAAAATCCTAGGCCAATGCCGGTTATCAGTGGAGTACCGCAGGGGACTGTACTTGGTCCAATCCTCTTTCTTCTTTAAGTTTATGTCAACGATCTAGATCAGTACGTGAAAGATTCCAAACTTAGCAGCTTTGCCGATGACACCCGAATAGGCAGAAAAATATCAACTTTAAACGACTGCAATCTTCTTCAAGAAGATCTAAACAAAATCATACGTTGGTCCAAGGACAAAAACATGAAACTGCACGAAAACAAGTTTGGACTTGTTTGCTATAGAACACCGGCCTCTAAATCACTTTCAGAGGAGCTGCCATTTATGAGTGACATCACAAACTACACCACTCCAAATGGATCAGTCATAGAAAGAAGCCCATAAGAGCGTGACCTAGTAGTCAACATGTCCGATGATTACTCCTGGACTCCACATATCAATATCATGGTTGACAAGGCCAAGGCACGTCAGATGGCATCTTGGGTTCTTGGAGTATTCAAAGACAGGACACCACCTGTTATGCTCCAGCTCTACAAATCCCTGATAAGGTCCAGAGTGGAGTACTGCTGCTCGCTTTGGAATCCAAACAAGATCTATGATATCCAGTCTATCGAGAGCATACAACGCCAGTTCACTAGACGGATTCGAGGGCTCAAAGACACCGATTATTGGAATAGACTGAAGGAACTGAAACTTACATCACTGCCAAGACGCCGAGAACGCTACACCATCATACATCTGTGGAAAGTTCTCCAGGGTATATGTCCAAATGACCTTGATGTACAGTTCAGAGAGAATGCCAGACTGGGAGTAAAAGTTATACTCCCTTCTCTCACAAAAAAAGCATCAGTTGCTGCACGCTCCACCTACGACCACTCATTCGCAGTGAGAGCTGGAAGACTCTGTAATGTTCTCCCCAAAATTGTCAATACTCAAAGGACTTTGACAAGCTTCAAGACATCTCTTGGAAACTTCCTAGACACCCTTCCAGACAAGCCCCCTACTCCTGGATACAGTGCAGAAAACTCTAACTCGATAATAGACTGGTGCAGTCAAGGAGGTGGTCCGCAGATCGCGCGATGGCCGTGAAGATGCCTACTTCTAAACCTCTCAATAGGTTCAATAGGTAGGTAGGTCTTGTCATTTGAGATTTGAAACCCGTCAAATAATAATGACGGCTCACGTTATGAAGTAAATATATTAGGTAATGAGGTGATAGTATTAAATATTTTAATATTAATTAGGTTAAACTTAAATTAGTTATGATTTATCATTACTTACTAATTTACTATTATGATTATTGTCTATATCTCCGCTTTAAGGAGAATTCCCAGCCATCTCCTTAGTGCATTCTCCAGTCTACACTGACCCAGTTTTCTCCACTTCCTTCTTTCTGCTGAATCTTAACAGTCCCATCATCGCTCTTGCAATACTCGGGTTAAGGAATAGGGATATAAGAGCCGGAAGCCAGGAGGTCAGAAGGCATGAACGCTTGAGCTGAGTTTAATTCATTACGTTATAGAACAATTGATTAATAAATTATTAATCCACTAAAATCGTAATATATTAAAAATATTAAAAATCCAGGTTATCCTGGACATGTCGTAAAATTAGCTTTTAAACTCGTGCCAATTAGTCAACCCCGGTCCTGTTTGCTTTAAAAAAAATTAAATTACTCACCACTTCCTGAAACCAATAAAACCCATCCACACCGAAAATGTATAGCAACGTGTCCTCAGAATCAGGGTTTAGATAAATCATGAAGTATATAATGTACATAAGAGCCGGGACTATTGAACAGACCATAGTAATCAAAGCAACACTTTTTGCTCGGTTTTCGTCATCTTCCAGATTTTCTACCGTGAAGTTGTATTTGCCTGCCAAACAATTGATTTATTAGTAATGATAAGTTATCAGATAAGTTAACAGATAAATGACTGATAAATGTATTAACAGATCCATCAATGAATTAACCAGTAAATCGCTGGTGGCCATAATTTCTGTTTCAGACGATTCAATTAATCAAACTTTCGAAATGTAATATTATTCAAATCAGGTAGTTGATAGCAATATCAGCTACTGTTAAAAGATTTAAGGCGTGATTCAAGTTTTAATTTAGAAGATTTTCCTTGCCTGAAACTGCAGCAATAAAGTTCCTTCGCTTGCGACGAGGGTTGAATGCTTGGGCGAGGGTGTAAGTCATGCAAACAAGACCCCAGAGGCAGGGTACCAATCCCAACAGAATATTCAGCAAATAGTCCCACGATCCAGGCATATGATATCTTTCACAACGCATGAAGTAGAAATGCCAACCAAATGTTTTCTCTCTTCTCAGGACATTATCTTTATACCGAAAAATACCCTGAACAAATATTAGGGGTTCAACTGTAACCTCATTAGGTCGTTAAAACCGGAAAAGGCCGTTGACACGCTCAATAGTCAATAAAATTTACTCTGTACTCAATTAATAAATTTATCTATTGAGTTTATAATTAATAAAGGAGAATGTGTTACTTACATATGACTCCCCACCTAGTTTCTCTATAAAACTGGTGATTAAATCAGGTGTATTTGTCCAGAAATAGTAGAAATATATCTGGGCTGCCAGCAGCAAGAGGTCCACAAAGAGGGCTCCTATGATAGTCCAGAATGTTCTCCAGCTCGATCTTTTGTAATTCATGGGGTATTGCATCGCATAGGCTGCCTGTTAAACACGTGTGTTAGGAACACGTCGTTGAAAGGTACACGAGTTTTACTACATATACAGGGGTTGGGTGCGGTGGGAGGGTGAAGTCGCTACATAAAGTTATACGTTTGGGCTTATTTCTCAGTCGCTGAGTGCCCCTACTAATGAATAGTTGCAGGTTGAGGTATTATACTATAATATATGCAAATTTACAGGTCTCAAATATGAAGCATGGCGAGTTATAAGACCCAACGTATGTGTAATGATGTTTGGCCCCCAAAAAGCTTAGGTACGACTTTCTCGTTTGGTTTTAAAGCCGTAAAAATCAAAATCGCGTGATTTTGGGCGAGCAAAAACCTCTAGAGTAACAATTGAATAACACAAGGCAATAAACCACAAACCTCTAGAGTAACGATTGCATAACACACAACTTGAAACATGGAGATCTTATCCGAAACAGCATCCGTGAACCAACAAAGGTCTCTGTTGTTTTTATACAACCAGGTAAAGCCCTTCTTGATTCCCATGTAAAACCCCCAGTTAGTCCCCAAATTAACTAATGCTACAATGCATGCTACCAAGAGGGGGATCACGGAGGGATCCTTCCTTAGATTTATCTGAAGTATAATTATATTTACTTTCCTCACTGTTACATGAATAAAGCGGTTGTTTTAGGTAAAAATAACGGTCATGTTGACCTCTTTTTTAAGTGTTCATAAAAAATATAGCGAAATTTGATAATGCTAACTTATCCCCCTTCTTCAATTATCGTATGTACTTTGGAAGCAGAGTGTAGTTGAGTATGAACTTCGATGTAATTTGTAAATACCCCTCAGGCGCATCCGCAATGTTGAAAATTTGGATCTCGGTCCCTGAACGTCCTAGAGACTTGACTTTTAGTTAAAAATAACTACAAAAGCCACATTCATCTACAAGTTATGAAGCAGCATAAGGTCTACAGTTCTTTGTTTGACAAACAACTATTTTTTGGTTCAGAAAAATGGCACTGTATTTTGGTAACTTGAGCTAGGAATGGATTTTAGCTTAAAACAACCACAAAAGTCAGTCATTTTGGCTACCCGTACGAGAAAAGATACTTTATTGGATGGTGACCACAAAAAAAGATTCCCAATAATATTCTTGCCAGAAAGTGTGGCTAAATATTTTAAAGTATACAGGTTTCGACCTTAAAGTTGAGTCAATGAGCATGTGAAGGAAGCTGGATGACCTACAATTGAAATTTTCTTTTGGTTTACTTGTAAATACATTGACCAGATATGGGATAGTGGTAAGATATAGACTTTACACCGTGCCCGATCATGTAACTTTAAGAACATCGGACACAGATAAAAAAGGGGTGATGTAGAGAGAATTATTAAGGGAGGCAGTTAGAAATTAACCCAAGCGAAAAGAGCAAAAACGTGATGTTAACCAAATTCAGGCAATAATTTTAGTGCAAGAATTGGCAAGAAAAAGACCAAACTGCTAGTATAGTAGGACTAAACAAATTGCAAAACTACATCTAGATGGTTTTGGTGCAAAATTACCTAACGAAATTGTGCGCATCGAAGTGCATACTCAGCTACTGCACTAGGCTACTAAAGTTATCATTAATGACTAATGATGTGTTAATGTGATGCGCACCTTGTTATTTTGTTTATTGATTGACCTACAGACAAATAATTGTAAAATTATTTTTCTTATTACTTACCCTGGTTACCACGATGAGGATGAAGACTGGGTTTACAATAGCTGTCAGGACCAGGTTAAATATGTGGAATACCATAAAGAAAATTTCTGTACCTACTCCCATACGCTTTTTTTCAAAACCTTCTTTCCCGCGCGGCTGAGTTGTCGGAGCTGGTGTGGAGGGTGAAAAGGTTGGACGATGTGTGGTATATGAAAGATGGCGGGTAACGCTTCGACTAAGTTGGCCTCCAGACTGCTCTGTGCGGCCTGTTGGCATATAAGTCGTTGCTATACTCCAGGTTGTCGGTTTGGCCGAGGTAGACTTAATTGCCCGTTTTTGGAAGTATGATTCCTCTGAAAAGTAGAAATATTTTAGTTACTTGATATTATTTCCCTGAAAAGTAGTAATATTTCAGTTAAGGCCACAGGGGGGGGGGTGTCCAAGGTAAATTTTGAGATATGTTGTAAAGCTCGATTAAAATTTTCGAATGCTTTTGTTCCCACTAAAAAAAGTTTCCCATTTGTAGGTATCGCGCGTCAAATTTTGAGGTTTACCTGTAATTTTATTGTAAATGAAAACTTCTAATATGCAATTGCAATTTTGTTTAAAATCTATCTTCTTTTACAGTTTAGGACATGGGACATTGTAACTTGGCAACAGTGTTTGTCAAGGTTTTGTCCAATAGTATAACATGTAGCGATTTTTGATTTTTTGCTTCTAATATGCAATTGCAATTTTGTTTAAAATCTATCTTCTTTTACAGTTTAGGACATGGGACATTGTAACTTGGCAACAGTGTTTGTCAAGGTTTTGTCCAATAGTATAACATGTAGCGATTTTTGATTTTTTGCTCCAAAGCTGAGATATGAGGTTAACCATGAGTGTGCGTCACAAAATTTTTCGACAGTTAACCTTATAAAAAGAGTTAGGAGCAAAATTTTAAAAATCGCTGCATTATAACTGATTGTGGCTATCTGAGGAACATATGTTCCAAATTTGAGATAAAACGGATAAAAGCTCTAAAAGTAGATAGGTTTTAAAAGTGGTTTCAGGAGAGCCAAAAAATTGATTTTTGAGAAAATATGTTAACCTCAATTGTCCAACGAATAAAGGGCATATAATAGTTCTGTTCACGTTGGATGGCCAATTGATACCTAATACCCATGGATAAGTTTAACTTGTGATGAGAGCAACAAAATGTTAAGAACCGGTTATTTGCGAGGTTAACTGATTAAATAGGCAATAGTTGACCTCAATTTTACGACAAAGAAGGCGCTCTAGCTCTGGGGGGCTAGGGGTGGCGCACGAGCGTCAAATATTTTGTCGACCTCGGACCCGCTACCCCCCCCCCCCCCCCTGTAGCTGTGGCCATAATTGGAATATGATTCCTCTGAAAAGTAGGAATATTTCAGTTACTTGTTAATAATAATTGGTAGTATCACTTTAAAAATTAGGATTGTTTCAGTTACTCGTTATATTAATCGGTAGTATCTCTCTGAAAATTAGGAATATTTCACTTGTTGTTATTTTATTCTCCGAAAGACTCAGAGGGCTTAAAATTTATCATGCGATATCTAAAAACACTGCTTTACTTTTCATTATACTTTCAGGCCATTCATCCTGTCAATTCATCTTTATTTTTCAGAGAAAAAGGATTTTTGAGACATAGTCCTAATATATATTATGTTAACTTCGAAAAGCAATAAATTAGAAACCGCAAGTAGGAATGTCGCAGTATTCGTACGGCGGTTCTTTTCCCTCCCCGTTATAGCACCATGGCCCGTCAGGAAAGAAAAAAGTAGATCTGAGGAGATGGTGGTTAAAGGAGGGGGGGGGGGGGGGGGGGGCGGGGAATCAGTTGAGTTGAGATAGTAGTTGACCTACAAATTAGTGCCCGTGACCAAACTTTTGAGGGATCCATTTTTGGCTCAATTATGACAAACCACATTAACATGCCCAAAACCAAGCTTGCGTGTTTGGTCCTATACTGTATACCTTATCCGACGTTATTTGACCGGACGTTGCGTGAAAGGACATAATCAATTTGTTTTTAATTTGGCCGCCAAAATTTCATGCAAAAATATTGAAAGCTGATTTAGTATAGCACCCCAAAGCTTGGATTTGGGCATGTGAATGTGATTTGGCATAATTGAGCCAAAAATTGATCAAAAGTTTGATCACGGGCCTTAGTTTGTTGATAAAATGCTATATCAAAATCAAGTTTCACTTGACCGCCCCCCATGAAATCTGGGCAAGGGGCGAAAAGGGGCCAACTTTTTTGCCTCATTTGGCCCCTTTGCTCAGAAAATAATAAATTTTTGACACTTTTAAAGATATTTCTCACATAACTGTGTAGTTTTATCATCTGCAGTTAAGATTTCTGTTATGCAGTTAGACCATCTGCAGCGAAGGGGCCAACTTTTTTGCCTTATCCGGCCCTTTTGTTCAGAAAATAATAAAATTTTTACATTTTAAAAGATATTTCTCAGATAACTTTGTAGTTTTACCACTTGCAGCTAAGTTACCTGCAGTGAAGTTTGGCCATTCGCAGCTAAGGGGCGAAAAAGGGCCAAATTTTTGGCCTCTTCGTTCAGAAAATATCTAAATTTTCACACTTTAAAAGCTAAGTTATCTGCAGTGCAGTTTACATTTCTCATTGCTAAAATTCATTCCTTAAAGCAAATTTGCTGAAATTTTGTCGGTCTTGAAACTGTGTTTTTAAATGATCTCTATTGCCAAATTGCTTCTACTTCTAGGCCTTTTGCAGGAGCAAAATGCTGAAAAGATTTTGCCTTCAGCAAACTGACGCTATTGCTAGTATTTTGCCAATAGCATTTGGATATAAAGCCATCCTGCCATAACCTGAATGTTTGCCTGCAGTCTGCATATTAAACTTTTCTCAACGATTGACATGAAATTTTTGAAATTCAGGCTGACTACATTATAAAAAGAAAATCATTCCTACACCCCTGGTCACAGGACGCATAAAACATGTTTTTAACTTTATAATGTAAATAAAAGGCCCTTGGTCATAGGGAGGAAGATAATAGTATTCTTAATCTTTGATACTCAATTTTACCGCATCAAAATTATCCCTCCCAACCGAATTGGATACAGCCGATGTAGATGGAAAAGGCTCCACACAACGTAGTAATAGTATGACAATAAAACCGATAACAATGTCGTTACTATGCTGTATGAAACTTCCAATTCCACAACGAATTTGCACGTTGACGGTCAAACATACACACAAAGAGAAACTTTCGAATCATAAGTAAGATTATATTATCCGTAATAAGTCTGGCCATCGAAAATTTGATCTTGAATTTGGAGTGTAATAAAATGTACTAACTTTGTAGGACCTCGACAGTAATTATGGCCGCCTCCCAATCCAGAATCTGGATATCTGAAAATAAAAAGAATAAGTATTATATTTGTATCGCAACGTCGTGTTAAGTTATTTATAGCAATATGTTATCTTTTCTGAAAATACTGAGTAATATGGCGCAGCAACTTACTCTTTGTGATTTACATCGTGGTTATTCGGTGTTTTTTCGTCCCATTTTTGACAAGTTAGACCTGATGTGATTGATGATTAGTTGCTATGATTAACTAATTAGTTGCTATAATTAACTGATTAGTTTCTACAATTTAGCAAATAATTGCTATAATTAAGCTATTAGTCACTATTATATTATGAACTTAATTTAGGATGTCGTATAGTAAGGTTAGATCAATTATGGTAGTAACTGTCGTTTCACCTACTAGAAAAATATAAATAAAATCACAAAGAAAACTGGATTAATGAATAACCTGATATCGTAGTATTCACTGTACCCCGGTAGTTATTCCCGGGAATATCTTTAGCTTCTTTGCACTCTTCTGGTACATTGATGTAATTAATAAATAATTAATAAATTATAATTGATATTCTATATATACCAGTATCATGCATGTGAGTTTCATGAGGACCTCAGGCTACTGCACTGGTAGCTGGTATGTTCGGAATGAGCAGATCCGGTCCTAATCTGGTGTGAAACAGTAAATGCAGTAAGAGTGGTACTAAGATTAGGAATCTCCAGTACTTTTCTTCCGAGATATCTGGTGGATTCGTGTAGTGTTTTTGAGTCTCATGATTTGATAGTTCTTTTATTCAAATTTCTGATTGTTTCTGAATAGACTCAGTGAAGTTTCCATTAGAATCTGTCTTCACTGAGTCTATTCAGAAACAATCAGAAATTTGAATAAAAGAACTATCTTCCGAGATAGTTAGACCGTATAGGAACAAGCACCCCCGTGGCCCGTACGTCAAGAACTCTATAACATGAACAGTTCTAAGTTTTAAAGTTAAATTCTTTTTGAAATTCCTCTCGAAATTGATTTTATAAATGTTTTTAAAAAAGTGGTGTGATATCTATCTGCTGCTTTTGATCATATGGAAAAATATTGTTCCTAGCGATCATAGATAATTGTATTGCGCGAGCGATTTTCATTCGCTCGTACCGAAAATCGAGTCTAAAAATTTATCTTCTTCTACAGTAATCACCCTGAAACTTTCAGGATATGTTCTAAGGACCATTGCGAAGATTCTAATTGAACAGAATTTTGAGATAGGCCTAGGCCTTTTAAAAAATTTGTATTCGATTTTGAAAATCTTGGACCTCGTACTTTGACGATTTTTCCAGGTTCAAGATTTTCAAAGATATGATTTCTAAAAGTTTGTAGTAATTTTCTTGCAATGATGTTCTTGCAATGATTTTTGTGTCACTATCATTTGATTTGATAATTTCCTATCTGTTTTTTAAACTAGAGTTGGAATTTTCCTTCCATTTGTTCCACGGGAAAATATCTCCAGGTAGTAAGGAAGGTATAACAGCGACAAACTACACGTACTATAATCTATATGACCCAAATTTGAGATTTAAAACACTAGAAAATTCTATGGAACACATAAGATTTGATCAAAACTAAGATATATGATGTCAGATATTGGAGTGAGAGATCTTGCTATATTATACTGGGGAGTTCGTGCCGAATAATGGGAAAACTGAAAGAGATCGTGTCGGAGATCATATTTTTGATGTAGCTAAAAAATTTGAAAGAATTCGTAAATAAAAATTCGATAGGTCCTTACTGATTTCATTGGAAGAATACAAGTCCGTCAAAAGCGCAAGTGCAACTACAAAGTTGAGTATGTTTATAGTAACCATCCTGAAATAATACTGATATTAATGATCTGTAGTTGAATAAAATATGTTGTTCCATTCTATTGGTCAACATTCGCAATGCCTTTATACAAATCATTACAAGAAAACCTACCTGAATCTTGAACAGGAAAGTTTTTACAAAATCATATTTTAATATCAACATTAGGCGGGAACAAAATGAAACTAAGTTAATGCCCATGATCATGCAGCTGCAATATTATTATTAATATGGATGGACCAAGACTTTTGCGATTCTTAAAAGCCATGTTACATTGAATTAAGGAGGTAAAGACAAAAAATGTAAGCTGATCAAAGAAACCCCTTTACCAAGGTTCGAGAATAAAAACTGCAGCAGTAGAATTTGAGGAATTATGACCTCAACCTATCATTTTTCGGATATAAAAAGATTCAACTCCTATTAATTGCCTAAGGTTATACTTATATAAAAAGAAATTTGAAAGCGAAAAGATTACGATACGTTAACCGTCCGTCAAAATTAGTTGCGAATATGAACTTAAAAAAGCTTTTATTTTGAATTATTATTACAAAAGCAAAATCGCTCACATCCTGAATCGGAGCAGGAAAGAAATCTGAGTGGCGATTATATTATAAACTGCAGAAAACAAAATGCGAACTTTTAAATCGCAATCACGTGATTGCATAAATGCTGTAGACTGGGCTGCACGACTTAGGGGACCCCAAATTATAAGGGGTCCCTCGATGATCAGATCATGTCAATGTATAAAGTGACGTATAAATAATGACGTGATCCATCAGTAGAATTTAATTGTAGATTTCCCACACATTTGATTTTATATTATTTATAAGTATAATCAAAGTTATTGTTAATTAGCGGACTTACATCGGTCGTTCGCTTTTCCTATTAATTCACGGCCTACAAATAATTGATTGTTGGCGATTGAATTTCCCAAGGGTTTAAGATCTTAAAGAGTTAAGTACAGCTGCCCACGCACCACAGCTTGAGTTAGGCACTAGGCAGTGATTACAGTGATTGACCCTTCCAGATCGAAGAGGTTGCAGACTGCAACACATGCTCGCTTTGCACATGCATTATTTTTTATCTCTCTAATTCTAAGACTAAAATAATAAAGTAATATGCAATTTAAAGTCATGTCCGTAGCCCGATCGTCGCACGTGCATTAATTATGAGTAATTAAACTTGTATGTTGTAGCTTATTATTATTAAACATTTTACCAGAATTGAGAGAATTGTCTGAGAGGGAGAGATAGCACAGAAGGGACACTTCGTAGGAAGTTTGTGCTTGCAGCACTGCCAGGCATCTGTGAGGGCTGATTCCTTGTCCTTCTTCAGAAGGTGGATGTTTCCATCAAAGTCAAGTAGCTGCAGTTGATATAATCCTGTCCAACCAGAGATGAATTTGGAGAAGGTAGGCATGTTGATATTGTCTTTCATCTACCAGTATATACTCCCCTTGCATTCTCGACAAGTCTCATGTCCCTAGATACGAGAACCACCCCGATTAGCAAGAGCTCCCGTCCCTTATGTGATCTACGAGTCGCGCAGACAAATCTTAAAGATCCTGTTTAGTGTTTACTTCTTAATGTACACTTGCACTGTACAGCTATGAACATTTTTTTTTGTTGAACATTTAGAATATAATTTGGAACATTACAGTAACGTTATTCAAATCTCAAACAGAAAAAGTATATTTCAAAGCTTTGTGTTTTGATCATATGATTATGGGTGTATAGTGATTTTGATTGCATAAATTTGATTGGGCAGTGATGGTGAGTGAGAGGATGATGGGAGTGCCAGCCAGTAACTCTGTCAAATGAACAGCCCACTGAGGAGTGGGTGAGCGCAAGCGCGAGAACGGCAGAGAGGGTGGCATAAAACGGATTACACGGCCACAGAAAAGACACAGAAACTAAACCGTGCGCGGTAAGTTAGCCAGTGTCTGAGAGCTGGTGTTGCCCGGCAGGAGGCATCCAAAAGAGGTGCCGTGGTGAACTCAGAACTGTGGAGGCAAAGTTCGAATGCAAGGCGAAGCAACTCAAACTGATGATGAAGAGGTAGACTGAACGGGAAGTAAAGAAAAAGGAAAAGGAAGGATCCAGCTGAGGTCTGGCTCATGTCAGGAAGTGATGAAAAGCTCACAGACAAAATCATCCGTGGCTGTCTACCCCGTACGTAGGCAGTGTATGATGTACAGAATTGACATGTGAACTCTACCCTATATCTAGCCCATTTCTAGGTCAATTAAATTCTACTGATGGATATATCACTAATTAGACGTCACTAATTGGTAACATGATCTGACCCCTGGTAATAGGGGGTCCCACAAGTCGTACACTGTACGTGTCATATCAATTAAGTAATTTTGGATGAGAGCGAAGCTTTTTATCATAACAGACAAATTTTGTAAAATTAACAATTCGTAAAATCTTATGTTACTTTTATTAAGTTTTAAAACACTGTCAAGTTATTGCTGGCGATTCTAGTTTAATTACGAACACAGTAATCAGAGTAGCATAAAAAGAAAGTTTTGATCAAACATTTGCATTGTACAGCAGGGTGTCAGAATTATTGGCGTGTTCGAAATTTTATGTGTATTTTATGATTAAATCAATATTTTTCGACGGGTCATAACTTTGCTTCTGAATATTGGAATTACAAAATTCAAAAACTGGTCTGTTATCATAGACAATCGTCTGAACTTTTTCTTAATTTCAGAATTTTGTGTTGATGTACCTCAAAACCCATAATTTAGGCCGTTATTTAAAGGGTCAATTCTATACTTGGTTAGATTTACGAAAGAGTAAGGGATTTATGTATAATTTTTTTCAGTGAATTTTTTCTGAAATTATTCTTTAGACTAAGTCTAAAGTGCACAGCTTTTCAGGCGATAGCGAAACATATAGCAAACTATGTATTTTATAAAAGCTCTCTTTCTCCTCTAACTGACGCAATAAAATATACTTATAGTCAGGCGGACTCATCCCGGAATTCAGGGGAAGCATGATCAAGACATCATAGGAAACTGGCCCTCAGAAGTCAAGTAATGTTCGTTTCTAAAAGCTTGGGTAAGCTAAAATTTTACACAAAATTGTCTACGCGCCAATAATTATGACACCCTGCTGTACATGATTAAATGCTGATGAATAAATTCTGAGTATCGAAAATCGATACGTCGATTGCGTGGCGTTTAACAAAACGTCGTAGCAGAAATAATATAAGGCGAAAAGGTCAATCACTGTTTAAAAATACGTGCTGCGAGGCATAAAACTCTTCTATCGTCTTCTAAAACAAATCAGTGCATATTTTAAATAGTTATAGAGGCAATACTGAGAGCCGAGAGGGACCTCAATGGGTCATGTTTTACAAGTTTACGAGCTCGTGGATTATACATAACTCCAAAACGAACCTCAGCCTACCATACATTGTACCAGACACTTGTGGATTCACTCTGCTATTGTTTGTCTGAGCTGATCAAAGCAACCGCAAAAGCTTTGAGAGTTTACCGTTTACCAAGGTTCGAGAATAAAAACTGTAGCAATAAAAATTTGAGGAATTATGACTTCAACGGCTTAACCTATTTTGCTTTGGATATAAAAAGATTCAATTAAAGTATTAATTACCCATGGTTATAATCATATAAAAATGATTTTGAAAGCGAAAAAATTATGATATAATTGATACGTTAACAACAACTTTTCGTAAAAAGCAGTTGCGAATATAAACTGAAAAAGCTTTAATTCTAAATGATTATAAGCACATGCGCATAAACGAACAAATTTGCAAACTCTCAGAAAAACTTATGGCGCAAAAGAGTTTTAGAGCGGAGTTTTAGCGCGCATCACACGTGCACTGAACCAAAAAGTTAAAAGCTTGAAAAGCGCGGCAACGCGCGTCGTTTGTAGTCTGCCCTGCACACATTCAATTTTAACATGCAGGTGATTAAATTCTAAAACGCTGGTGACATGGCCATGCTAGATAAATCAAAAGAGGGGCTGCAGGAAACCACTGCAAATACAGTGCCTGTGCGGGTCTGAAGATTAATGCTGGCAAAACACAGAGCATGGTTGTCAGTAAAAGTGCATCGCAGAGGCCGTATTCTAAAGACGACACTATCACTATGGACATCAATGTGGAAGGTCTCCCAATACAGCAGGTCAGCAGTTTCACTTACTTGGGTGCTATCATCAGTGCGAATGGAACAATTGACAAAGAACTATCAGCTCGAATTCAAAAGGCCTCTCAGGCATTCTATCAGCTAATTAGCAGTATATGGTACAGTCCCACTCCCAACATCAAGACTCCAACTAAAATCAGGATATACAAAGCGGCTGTCTTCACTATATTGCTTTATGGAAGTGAGGTATGGAATACTATTACTACACAGACGTAGATGAAAAGATTTGAGGTCTTCCATCATAGATGTCTGAGGAGAATCCTGAAAATGAAATGGTCATGTATCTAATGCTGACGTACTTAAGCGGGCTAACATCGCCCCTGTTGATACTTTCGTACGAGCAGCTAGGCTCCGATGGTTTAGCCATGTGGTGAGGATGCCAGAAGAAAGAATACCCAACTATCTTCTGCACTGGATCCCAAAGCATGGTAAAATGTCAAGAGGTAGACCTCGGAAAAACTGGTTGTCGTGTGTCCGGGAGGATGCAGCAATCTTCACAGGTGTCGATAACATCACGATAGAAGATTATGACACCCTGCTGTACATGATTAAATGCTGATGAATAAATTCTGAGTATCGAAAATTGAAACGTCGATTGCGTGGCGTTTATCAAAACGTCGTAGCAGAAATAATATAAGGCGAAAAGGTCAATCACTGTTTAAAAATACGTGCTGCGAGGCATAAAACTCTTCTATCGTCTTCTAAAACAAATCAGCGCATATTTAAAATAGTTATAGAGGCAATACTGAGAGCCGAGAGGGACCTCAATGGGTCATGTTTTACAAGTTTACGAGCTCATGGATTATACATAACTGAAACTCTAAAACGATCCTCAGCCTACCATACACTGTACCAGAC